GTGATTCTTCTATTTCGTGTTTTGTTGTGTTTTGTTTTTCGTTGATTGGTGTGGGCTGGTGTGGCGCCTGCCCCTATCGACCACGGATCCCGACGGCCCTGGTCCGTCAGTCGTCAGCATCTGCCGGACTCATACAAGACACGATGTTGCATGGCGTTGTCGTCGTTGACCATCCCGGCTGCTATTTCAGATTGGGATGGGGCAGGACCGACGAGGCAATAGTTCGAGTGTGAGTGGCTTGCAGCGGTTGCATCCAATGGCTGAGGGATTTCGCCCGTTGACTTCTGAGGAGCCCGTATCTCTTCTGTTAGGCGTCATTCGCATCTCCATTTGCCCTTTTCCAAGGAGAATGACAATGCTGGCGTGGGTCCAACCTCCAGCTGAGGCCATGCCGGTCGTCACATCTCAAAGCTTCCCCGCCCTCTTTTGCCTTTTCGCTTCCGAATGACTCGCACTCATTTGGTACCATATCCTTGGGAACCAACGAAATCGATGATATCCCTCTCATGTCACCCCCATACCACCGATCGTGCGACCTCGTGTTCGCTTCCAACCCCTAAATGGAAGAAAGTCGGGTCCTGCAGCGAAGACTTGCGCCATCGTCTGGCATACCAGTTGCCAAATACATGGCGAGGGGAATGTCAAAGTTGCTGCGGGACTGTAGAACGGTTAATCCAAGTCCCTACCCAGGTTCAGATCTCCTCCCCCGGTTACGAAAGCGGTTGCACATCAGAAATCTAGTGTTCCTGGCAAGCCACCTTGTTGCAGTGCCCGCTAGATCGATACAAATCGCGCTTCAAACTTGGTAAATCCTGCATGTTAACTTCGCGTGCGATTGACCTTTCAGCGGACCTGGGGGAAGGGCTTTTTTTTTTTTTCGGATAGCCACCGAGGCCGGTTGGCTCGTCTCTGGCTACCTGATATCAGATCATCATGACTGCTTTTGATTTAGCCGACAGATTCAATCCCACGCACCCGCACTCTGCCCATATATTCCGGCGCTGCTTTCCAATGGACACCAGTTATATTATGTTGGCATTTGACACGCGGACGTGGTGCGGGTATACCTAGTCTTGGGGATAACAGTTTCAGCGGTGGGCCAGCTTTCGGAAACGAGTTGCAGGCGGGTTGTCTGGATTGAGTCAAGCCGAGGATTATGGTTGGCTCATGCGGACAAGGGACCTTGTTACCGGCGTTCTGGACCAGGCTGACGGCCACAGATACAAGGGTCGAAGGTGGGTCGAGCTCGATGCGGCCCATGTCGACAGTGGTGGCGAGTTGGAGCTACCGAGAAGCTCCGGCCGACGTCTCCTTCTTGTGCCGCAACAACTGACTGGCTATGCCTAGGAGGATGGTGGTTGACAACCGGAGAATCCACTAGATGCCGGTGTACGGAATACCTCGTACTCGGAGTATCCAAAGCATCGTAACAGAGGGACTCGAGTGCTTCAGAATCTGGATGGAGTGTGCTGGATGTTGGCCTCCTCTTCCAAGCAGCAGGGATTTCGGAAACATTCTCCTCCAGCCTGCAGGCTTGGACTGCTGGTAGCAACCAAGCAACCAAGCAACCACAGGGATCCAATCGGCACCCTGCTATTATGAAACCCTGTAAAGCTGGGACATGCAGGACAAGGTCGACCGGTGGCACATGTCCACCTGAGGCTGCCTGAGGAAGTTCCACGGATCGGCTTACTACGTCGCTAGTGGACGATATGCGCGCTCCTGCGCTTGAGAATAGAGGAAACTTGGAAGAAGACCATGGTATTTTCAAAACACCGTTCATGAAACTTCGTCGCCCCCCTTGCCCCGGAGTCATCTGGGGACGTGTCTGCGAGCAAGAGGCTCGACGACTCTGCTTGATTCGATTCGCGTGCCATGACCAAATAAGTTGCCCCTCCTCCTGGCCATCAAGCTATGATCCAGGGCTGATGTCCGAACCCCAGACGATTGTCGACATGTGTGAATCTCGGTCGTCACCCCCTCAATGGCGATTTCTTGCGTGCGGCCACGATCCACACAGGTTGCCACATCAAGCTGGGCAAGATAGCGGATAACCACAACCAACTACTCCGTAGCCGACCCGAGACTCTGGATCGAACACCCCCCTCTTCTGTTGTTGACCTCCGCGCGTTGGCTCTGGCTTCCCAGAAGATAGGCCTCGATGGTCATGAACTCATGAGTTCTCGCTTACAATGAGCCGGCACGAACGCCGGCGCTGATCGTTTCTTTGGCGGTTTCCTTAGGCGAGGACCGGACAATAGCACGCAACAATAGATGGCGTTTGAAGCAGGAAGCGCTCGGCTCGGGCTTGTTGGGAAGACTGTCATCGCTGTCACCAGCTCGGTGCCGGCTGTCTGCATGTGGTATTAGATCAGCGTCTTGCAAGAGTCACCTCGGGGGAGGTAAACAACAATGACACCTTCGAAGACAAGGGCACAGCAGCAGTATCCTCGTTGCCTCCACCTCAACAACTGTCACGAAAGAAGCGGCTCCCCCAAGTGCCCCCACTCGCTAAGCAGGCTGAGTGAGGCGTGCAAGTAAGTTTGTGGCTTTTGAGATAGCGCCAATCGAGCTTGTCATCTCTCTCGGATATGAAGACTTGCCATTCAGCCCATCGGATCACGCCCGGGGCGGCGACTGTTTTTCTTTTCTTTCTATCCCTGGCAGTTGGTCAGTGTCACTGGTGGCAGCGAACAACAAGCCGCTTGGACCCAACAGGTGGTTTGTCGATAGTCGGTTAGCTCATGCTCTTGGGGCTCTGGAGCCCTGTTGATCGAACCTGAAGTAGGAAGAAGTGAACGCAGCCAGTCAAAGTGAGTTGGCTCGAAAGCACCAAGGTCCTAAAGGTCCAAGGTCTTTTGATGGCCCAAGGTCCAAGGCAGCAACCTGCCTGCGCCTGCGACTGGTCACTCGTCAGGCCCCCTCCTCCTGCACTGCTGCACTGCTGCCCTGGCTTGCCCTGCCTACCCAGTACCCGGTACTGCACTGCCATCCTGCCCTTGTGCGCCCTCGTCTCTTCCCCTTCCTTTCGTCTCTTCCTCCCCCTCTTATTGCCCCATTATTCACTACCGCCAATTGCACTCCATACACACACCCACCAGGGCGCGGCAGCCTTAAGCCAATACCCACACAAGCCATCAAGTCAGCTACTTACTAGATCGCACGAAAGTTGAGATCTGTTCCGCGCACGAACGGGCAAGTTCGCCTTCTCTTGCGTCTTTCTTTCCCACACGACCACCCCCCCCCTCCTCCTCCTCCCTCCTTCTATTCCCCCCTACCACATGCCGTGCCGTCCTGTTCTCCCTTGCACCTTGCAAGGTTAAATCTGGTCCGGGCACTCCATCTCTAGAAACAGCGCTCTGTTGAAGATACCTACATAAACACTGGACTATATCTGCTGGGCCTCTGCTCGTCATACATAACTCCATCCCACAAAGTTTTACATGCTTTTTTAGCCACCGCATCCTTGAACATCCCTCCCATCCTGTCATCCAGTCAGCCTTCGACTATCATAGCTGCTGCTCCGACTTCCGGAACTCAATCGGTGCCCCTGTCACTTCCTTGTTTTGCCGGAGACCACTATTCAAAGACTCCAGAGTTTAAGAATACCAGATTTGGCCCCTCTATCTTCGGTGAAGGTCAACGCTGGTGAAAAGGGCACACTGCAGAGTGACTATTCGAACTGGTCCAGTGTGTTGCCATTCCTCGTTCCTACGGACCTTTTGTTCGTCCGGCGCGAGAGAGAAATTTGCTTCTGAAAGCAGTGTCAACTCAGTTCACCAACCGTCACACTTCGCCAACCAGAGGCACTTCCATAAAGTAAATGCTCATTTGACCTTTACGGCAAGTCTACAACAAGCCTCTACCCCGACCACTACCTGTCAATCACCCTGACGATCCCGGCGCATCTGTCGTCGCCGTGGAGACTTCTCCTTAAGTTGGTAGCCTGCTCGGATCCTCTCCAGAACGTCAGGAACCTCGTCCTTTGTCGCCAGCGTCTACGAAATTTCTGTTGGTGAAAAGGGAAATTTTCCATCTCGACTTTGGTGGTGTTCATTCCGGCCTTCATCACCCTCGACCCTCCCAAGTCCTGATCGCAGACCTGAATAGTCGCTCAGAAGACAAAAGGCCCAACAGGCCAGTTTTTGTCATCTGCTGGATCATTAACTTCGGGGGCAATTGGGTTGGCGCCTGTCAAAGGTGGCGGAGCGTTCTTAGCATTCGACGCGCACCGGCGTGAAGTTAAACTGAGGCTTCACCCCCCCGGAAAGTTCGAGGCTCAACAAGACTCAGGGAACCGCAGATCCTCCAGAAATCCACCAGCACCACATCGAACCTCTTCTCGGGCACAGCCCAGCGAGTCCTGCAGTCGTCAATTAGTCACTCCTCCGATACCAGTCTTTGGCCAAACTCAGTCCAGACGCGCAGCTCGCTCGCTACTGGCGATCCACGATCAACTGCACGCAGGCAAAGACCAGGCACTGCGGTTCGAACCACACCGGAAACCCGATATTCTAAGATTGTCATTATAGCAGGCCGCAGTTCATTCGTTTCGACCTCCTCTAACTTCCCCTTCAGCCCTTACGCAGTTGTCTACCTCAGACCCGCGAAGGAGACCCGACGATTGTACGCATTTCCTATTTTCCAGTCGTTGTGAGACGAGTGCGCAAGCTGCTTTCCGACATTATTTTCCTACAATTCTGGCCACAAAAGTGAGAGAATAACCACATAGCAAGAGGCACCCCCTTCATACAAGAGTGGTAGTGTTCGAAACACTTTTCTTCTGCCCTGGTTGACAACCCACAGGCTTTCTCAACTCAACTCAGAACTCCAGAATTTTGCCTCTCTCAAACGGCCTTCGTGGGCGACGCATGTCAGTGCTCCTCTGTGACAGTCTTTTTAAGATTAAGGTCTCGAGATCCGGAAACTCTGCCTCATAACGCTCTCGCTCGACCTGGGAGTTTCCAGCGATAGGGCCGCAACGCCATACATCTCCCGCAATGTCTTCAGGTGGAGCACCGCTTCAGCCGACCTTCCAAGGCCATGTAGCCACCACCCAGGACGCGCTCATTCTCTTCGAGGCTTGCCTGCAGGGGCACCTCTCGCATGTGCCGCGGAGACCCCACGACCGGGAACGAAGCAACCTGATCAGGAGCGGCTGTGTCTTTATCTACGAAGAGAATGCATCCGGAATCAAGAGGTGGACCGATGGGGTTACCTGGAGTCCAAGTCGGATCCTGGGAAATTTCCTTGTTTACCGAGAACTTGACAAACCCTTTCCACCGGGAGAGAAGAAGAGAGCGATGAAAAAGCAAACGCGACGCCCAAGCCGACCCGGCGAGCCCTATGCCAGATCCGAGGGAGGGTCATTCTCGGATGGACAATCTGGCAATTTTTCAGCCGATCAACCTACCGCCACCGATCTGGGGAGGCAGTTGATAGTCGAGAGGCAATTAATAGGATCTCTGGTAGATTCCTACGGGTTCAAACAGGACGGATTGGTTAAGAAGACGATGAGCGTCACGGTCCAGGGCATAACACACCACCTGGTCTCCTACTACCATGTGAATGACGTCCTCAACAATCAGTTGCGAACACCATCTCAGACGGAAAACCTGCAATACATCCGTCCACGAGCCGAGCTCACCTCGAGGCAAAGCTTTCGGGCCCCCATCGAGGATGTCGACGAGGTGGAGGGGGCTCATAACGTATACGGGTACCGCGTGAATGCGGCTGGCTATGCTCCTCAGCCGTACTATATACCCCCAGGGTACCCTCCCATGGCTCAGCAGCCAAGTCAACCCCAGTATTCGATGGCTGTACCTTCCATGTCCTCGCCATACATTCAATCCCCAGTAACGACATCGCACATGCAAGGACAACGAAATGACTACAGTCAGTACGACCAATCGGGGTACAATCGAAGCTATGAGTCCTTGAACAGCTCAATCGCTCCGTCATCCAAAGCAATCCCAGCTACTCCAACGACTATGGCTCCAGTAATGCCGGACCGCACCCCGGCGCAGCCGACCATGTACCCGCCCATGAATATGCAACGGCCAGTGAACACTTTGAGCCCAGTTTCGATGGATTCCCGAGCGGCGGTCCCATATCGACCTAGCCCATATGCAGTGGGCCACAGCAATGGTGCTCCGATAGATCAGACCCGGCAGAGTCAGCCATCCCCCACGCAAGCTGATCGTAGGGAATCGGCACCACAACAAGCTTCAATGTACCAAGGCCCAAGGACGCCATACTATCCCGACACAGCCGGACCATCTATTCCTCAGCCTCAGTATTCTCAGTGGGCAGGGCAAACCCACAACCCATAGAGTGGACCAAGCATCTGGGGATCTCCTCTGTTCATTCGTCTAGGGCCACGCCCTCTGTCAGATTCTTTCTTCTCAACTTCCGACGAATGAGACCGCAAAGGAGGATTCCACTCATGTCCACAGTGCAGCTCCTGTGCACAGGGCGAAAGCCAGGGGGATTGCTCACCCCAGTCGGATCAACAATGCCCGCGAACCCTGCTTGTCTTGTGAGGAATATGCTGAAGATCTTCGTCGCATCTTGGAGACCTCAGCCCAGCCATGGAATATGTTATGGTGCGAGGTAGCCAGGACGGTTGTCGTTTGCCTAATCTGCATCGGACAGCGGCTTTTCATTTCTCATCCGCTGGCCACGCCCGAATTGGCCTTTCGGGATGTTGGTCTAAAGTCAGCATCCACGTGTTTGTTCGCGACAAGTATTGCAGTTGTTCAGCCTATCGCAAAGTTTTGTTTGGATCTGTAAGGGAGTTGGACACTTCAGAGCCTCTCGGCTCCCGGTGGCGCACCCAGGTACATCGAGAGGTTTTAAGGTGAACCTGGCTTTGCCAGAGGGAAGAGAACGAAGACGGGGATAACTCAGTGCCCCCTAGCTCAGGGGGTTCCACAAATTTTGGTTGCATTGAAATTGGAACGTTTGACTTTGCAGAGGCAAAAGGGGTTAATGCAGAAACGCAGTGACGGAAATTGTGGTGTACAAATTTGACCACTGGGGAACAGCGAAGAAGGGGGGTGATCTGGGAGGTAATGAATGAAACGGCCACTGGGAGGTTTATTGAATTTGACGAGGAAAAAAAGTTCGTGGGAGGCATATCTGCTTGTAGTCTTGTTTGTGGGCTGTACATGTGTTTGGTTTGGGCGGCAAAGGCTTTCATATCGTTATAAAAACGTTGCTGTTTCGGTTCTTCGAGCTCAGAACGGCGAATATACAAAGCTGCATCTCATTGGGGTTTTTGCAATGCTGTCGATGGACTTTCCAGGCGCATCCGTTGGCACCATGAAGCCAACTACCACGAGCCAGAACTGACACATGCATAGAGCAGTGGTAGCATGTTTGGAGTGAGCTCAAGCTCTCTGGGTCTACACCTGTGACGGCCTCTTCCAGCGCGGATGCCTCCACAGACGCAGACAGACCGAAGTCTTTTTCACAACCATTCAACCACACTCGATGTGTTCCTTTCCCCTTTACGAGGGTCAGGAAGAGGTCTACTACGTCGCAGGCTCTTAACTTTCCCAAATCATCCACCTTCATCCACTGTGTAACCGCCAGCATTCCATCCCTAGCGCTGCCATCTGCTTCAAAAGGATGCTGATCAAAGGAAGCTACAGTTTCTATTACCTCAGTGGACCAGAACGCCGAGGTCCCGAAACGATCGGCAAAGCTCAGCTGTCATCTCACGCCAACTCGCCACTCGAAATATCCACCTCAGCTTGCTTGGACCCAGCGAGACCTTGCCTATGAATACAACAGAAGAAAAAGACTTACCGAGCGGGATCCGTCCTCAACCGAAACTGTCCTAGGCGCTGATTATTACAACCTCCTGCTCTGAGATCTGTACGGAGCATGAGACCCGTCGAGCCCGTCATCCAACTCGATTGTGGCCGGGCTCCGCAGTCTACTTTCTTGCGGTGTAGGGAGAAACAGGTAGGGTGATGCTCGAGGAGCGGACAAGGATCAAAGCTTGATCAGTGAGTTGGAAAAGAGGAGGCTTGCCACATGAAGCAATTTGGAGGGTTCGTTGTTTGCTGCAACACCCCAGTCACCACCAGTGGTGCTGTGAACAAACACCTCCAAGTCTAACCCCTACTATCCATCATGGCAACGACATGGGGCTCCTGAGCCCATCAGGCACAACCCTTGAGCACCACTTTCTGTCCTCTAACAATATCTTGGTCTCTTCGACCTTTCCACATGCCTTGGGACATGTTGCATTGGCAACGGGGAAGACTCCGTCTACGAAGTATTAGGATCGTCATCGCCTGCTATGACGTGCACCGGGGGCTCCGGAGTCAGCCGCGACTTTGAGAGGTCGAGGACTTGGGACTGAGATAATTTCTTTCTACAAAGAGCCGAAGTCCAACGCGCAGCTTCAATATCCGAAGCATGGCAACCTCAGCGGGTGTATTACATAGAAAGGACAAAACTCCGAGAGGTTTCCAAGTGATTAGCTGATGTCCCTTGCGCTCGACCAATATACGAAGGCCTGCCAGGTCTAGGCTTGTGGTATCTCCCATCGGCATCCACAATATCTAGGACCAATTCAATGCGAAGCTTGTCTGGACAGAAGAGGCTTGGTCAGCGACAGGTCTAGGCCTCTCTATTTGGCCCGGTGCACTACGGAGATCAAAAGAAGTCGGTGCTGTTCGACAGCCACCCGCAAATCTGAACTGTGTCGAATATGATCTTCTGTTGTTTTGCTCATTCCTTCATATCCCTGTTTTCTCCTGCACGATTGCGAGAAGTCCACTCCCTCCTGGCCAAGTGCGCAGGGGGGGAAAGAGAGAGAGAATCGTGAATTAGGCCCTAAGAACACTTATGGATCTCGCTTCCATTAGCCCTCAAAGTCAAACTGGAGGAGCTAAGCACTATTGCTTCAAACACATCACAATATGCAACCGTGGTTTGATCCCTTCAACCGAGTGCAGCATCGCTACTGGGAGCTACTGGGAAATAGATGGCATCCACAGGGCACATCTGCCTCTGGGCTGCAGAAGCCTGGCCGCTTTCGCCTACTCGATCGTTCCGCTTTTTCTTGCGAATTTCATCTGCACCCTAGTCACAGGTTGGGGCAAACCTACACACCCCCCCCCTTTTTCTTTTCTGGACGTCCACGGAAAGGTTGATCTCTTCTTCCATCGACAAGGACAGTAGGTTGCAGAGTCACTCTGAAATGACTCAGAAAGACGGCTTTTTGCGTAAACGGGCAATTATCGCCAACGTTTTCTTTCCTCGGAATGCGTCACTTCTCTCGTGGAACACCCGCTAGATGATTCGGCTTAAATACTTTTGATGTACACTGCTCGCCCGTTCAGTCTCGAGACTCTGGAACTCGAAAGGTCAACCATAATCTGGGTACTGTGCATTGAGCCACTTCCGTCCTGTAAGTTCCGGACACAACCCTGCACATCCCACTCTTTGCCGCGTTTTGTTTCGATGTCTATGCCCTTCTCCAATACCTGTTCGGATCTAAATCATGACACACTTAAACTATAGCAGGGGCTACCTTCTTGATGTACTTTTGTGCATGGTCCGTACTATCATGTTCCCTCAAACACTATCGAACAGCTAGATAGCCACGAGCTCGCAGGAATAGCAGCGCTATGAAGCTAGAACAGATTCCGCGATCCTTTAGTTAGGCATACCTGTCATTGCATTGATCAGATCAATTCACCTCGGCTGCAACTGTCCTCACGATTCATCGACCTCCCCAGGAGCCAAACACTAATGATCGAGGCGTTGAAATGGAGAAGAACATTTTTACAGCCTCTGGCAACCAAAACGATTGGCGAGGAGTGTCCGGGCAAAATACAAGAAGATGGGATGCGGTCTGGGTCGTAGGTTCCTTCAAACCACGGCTTGATGTCGCCCTTTGAATTTACTTGTCCTGGTGCTGAAGACTCTCCACAACTGAGAGACTCAAGATCGAACGCAACCGCTTGCATACCGGCGTTCTGCCCGAGCCCTCAAGTCACGCTCTTCTGACGGTACGCCTGTCCAAAGTACAACCAGCATAGGCTTCTCTCTCTATGCTTCGATCTTTCACCCTCTTCAAAGCGTCCTTTTCATCATTGCTCTTTCGTGGCAACTAGGAGCAACAACCAGATGGATCATGCCGTTTAGCAGGACTAATTAGTTCTGCTTGAGATAGAACACCCCACTGCTCTGGGAACCGAGAAAGGAAATCCCAAAAATGGAAGTCCCCAAAAGGCTATACGTTCACCCGGCACATATTGCCGTCCACATGGCATAGAGATCTCGAGATCTATACCTCCGGCATAGAGCCGCACCGCACCGCATCGCACCGCACACCGGCCATTTTCCGAGAGATCAGGCACGAGGCCAGGATATGAAGACGCAGGTACGCAGGACTAGTAGGGATGGTGGTCTAGCTTCAAACGCAAATGTAAGTTGATAACATGCCCGAGAAGCTTTTGTCGGCTGGTTGATTAGGCCGATACCGGTCTACCAATGGTCGTCGTCTTTGTTTACAGCCTCGCCATCTCCACATGTGGTGAAAGTCGCATATATTATACGCAACTGTTCAGGTCCGGCAGCCGGGGGACCCGGTCTGGATATTCTCCCAGCAGTGTCGACAATGGATCCGAAAAAGCCCGTTCCCGAAGAACTCTGGCGTGTGAAGATATTCAGAGCCCGCACGTCCCTCCCAGACTTTCTATTGCATTGGAGAAAAGCGCACCCGCTCGCGTTGATCCTTACGCCTTGCGGCGTGTTGTTCTGGGCCCTCGCCCCGTACCTCAGGAGAAGGACATTTGATATGAAATGATGGGATGCACTGTGGTGGAGAAGTGATCTGATCTGATCTGATATGATGTTGAGGAGGGTCATCAATGCATGCATGCTCGTAACCCGAGGCTGAATCCGTGAGGAGCAGGCCTCTGAAAGGTATGTTGACAAATCGGAAAGGAGAGGAGGAAGAGAAGGAAGAGAGAGATGAAGAAATGAAAGAGAGACGGAGAGAAACATTGAAGGCTGAATAAATATTGTGACTATTAGTTGCACCCATGACTGCGCCGCGGAGCTCCGAGACCGAATCTAGCTTGTGCCTACCTAGCATGTAACCCACTTCCACTAACTGCTCCAATGGGACCAGACTATGGAGTGTGTATGCCCATTCATTCATTCATTAATTCATCCATACTTCCTGTGATCTCTCCTGCGAGAATGATTGCTCTGCTGTAAGTCAATACTTCGCTGTGGCTGGAGGGAAGCGGTCATTGCCCCGGTTCATTCATCCAGGCATGTTCCGTTTCATTTCAATCCATTTCACTTCGCTTTCTTGTCCTCGGCCGTTGCTGTTGCAGCGGCGATGGCGTTCACAACATCAGCCTTGGCCTTCTCGTTCCCCTCGACGCCATTCTGTTCGCTGCCAAAGATGGGCGGCAGCTTTTTGCCGAGTTTGAGTTCGATGGCTTTCTTGAGGCCGTCGCCGCTGGGCATGGTGACTCTGCTGCCGCGGCGCCTGCGGGTCTCGATGTCTGCGCGGATCTCCTCGATGGCCTCGTCGATCTCGCGGGCCGGGTCGTTGGGCAGGCCCAGCGACGGCGGGTACTGGATCTCCTCAGCGATGGTCTTGCGCATGTTCATGTACGGGGCGTTGCGCTTGTCGAGGCGTTTGACCAGGGCCTTCTTGGCAGGGGAGGCGAAGAAGGCCATCGAGGCGCCCACGCCCACCACGGTGTAGAAGTACACCCTCGCCCAGACTTTCAGGGAGTCATGGAACCCCAGCACCACGAACGGCGCCGTCGTGAAGCAGAATGCCAGCTGCGTTGCCACGTAGCCCAGTGCATCGTAGTAGATCTTGTACCGTGTTGGCCGTGTGCCGTCGGGCGTCAGGAAAAACGGCCGCACGTACCGTCGGAAGTTCTTGGCTACCGTCTGGATAAACGCTGCCAGCACAAACGTCAGGTAGTATCCCGGGTAGAAGCCGTGCCACAGCGCCGAGGTCAGGAACGTCGCGAGAGTGGCGCGGAAGCCTGGCTTCTTGCCCTTGGGTGTGACGCGCAGATAGATATAGTTGCGGAGCCATTTGTTAGTGTTCTTGTTCCAGTTGTCCAGGTAAGCGCGCGAGTTCTGCGCCGTCTCAATTCCCCACGGGTTGACGTTCTCGAGGTGGTCCCATTTCGCCTTGCCCGTTTTCTCGTCGATGCCGTTGTAGCTGATCCCCGCCATGATGCAGGCGCCCTCCGTCAGCGACCACACGCCATAGTATTTCGTGCGCGTGGCGAAGCCGAGCATCTGGAGCAGCCAGACGCGGTAAGGGAACGAGTATTTCATGTATTCGTCCGAGAGAAACAGCGGGACGTAGTACCACCGGGAGAATTGCAGGAAGGCACCGATCCAGAGGAGACCGCCGATGGCCTTCCGGGCTGCTGGGCCTGCCGATTGCGGGGCGCGGCGTTTTCCCTTCGAGGGAGGCGCTGCTTTGCTGCTTGCTGGAACAACATATATGCTCCCGTCGAGCCATCGCTTATAGTCCGCGTACTATAATTCATTCCAATGCAACGGTTAGCTACGCGATGTCTTTGGTTTTGGTGGGGGGGGGCATCAAGTCTCATTTGCGTCGACCTCCTAAGCGATGATATATGGAAGAGGGTTGCTTACTTCAAATGCGGGACCGGTGAAGATGGAGGGGAAGAAGAAAACATAGCCAGCGAAGTCGAGCAGGTCGGGCATCTTGTACACGGCGCGCTCTTTCTGGGCGTCGTTCAACAATTCACCCTTCAGTCTTCCATCATGCACGTTCCAGCTGAAGCCGTGGAGTTTCATTATCGTGACCATTTGGCCCCCAGTTATATCAATAAGACTCGGATCAGCGATCCTTTGTCGTTCAATGTGGCTGATTGACATGTGGCCCTAGTGTCATTTGTAAGCATAACGCGAAGAAAACGGGGGCTCTTTGAGAGAGCAAACCATCAAAAACCAAAATACTAGCCACGGCATCAGGGAGCCATCGACATAGTATGCTATTAGGTAGGTGCCAATTGCGTCTATGAGCAATGTAACGGTTCCACTACAGCAGCATTCTTTAGCCCTGTACTTAATCGACGGAGCGATGAAAATGATGCTAAAGGTATTTCATACGGAAGGAGAACTTACTCCCAAAGATCATAAACGCCAAGGAGATAGAAGAGGGTGATGGCAACGCTGAATATGTTCTTCCATTGTGGTTTGTCGTCGGGAAGGCGTTTCAAGATAGCAGCCAAAGGGTACGAAAGTAAAAAGATCGTCAAGAGCTTGATCTCATCGACAGATGCCCCGATGGCATTGGAGAGCCAGAGAAAGGCTGAAAGGGATAGTCAGTAAGCTCTCCTGGGGAAAGACATGGGGGCGGAGTGGACCAACTCACGAATGTCTATCCCTGGCAGCATTTTTGTTGACCGCCCAGGCTCTCAGTCTATACGCAGAAGATCGAGAGGATGCTTGAGAAACAGTGGCCTTGGGAAACAAGCAGACATTGTTGAGGGAATGGACTGCGAACTGGAAACACAAGAAATGAGAGATGAGGAAACGTGGGGGAAACATTTTTTGGGACGTGGAGGAAGTGGAAGTGAAGTGGAAGATGACATCAAACATCGAATCGGGTCACATGCCAGGCACCACGCGCTCTCGCTTTGGTCTTGGCAGCAGCCTCGTCACCGTCGTGTCTCCTGCGGCACCTGCGGCAAGGCTCTACATGACCCCGACCAAGCTCACCAGACCCAGACAGCAGATCCAAACTACACTAGTTACACTCTGTCTTTCTCGAGAGTCCTACTTGTGGCTCTTGCTGACCTCTTCTGGCAGCCGTCCTCATGATTACAATGTACCGGTAGCTCACAGTTCCGCTCCCAGTCCCTCCTCCCGTCGGATCAGCCATCACCATGGACGTCGCTTCAGCGATTTCGGGCTACATCTCGAAGATTGCTGGCGTTGGTGAAGGCGCTGCCGCCTCTCAGAGTCAGAAGATGAAAATTCTCCTGCTAGATTCCGAGACAGTCCCCATCGTATCTACCGCAATCACCCAGTCCGCCCTCCTTCGATACCAGATCTACCTCATTGACCGAATCGATAACCCTGCCCGCGAACGCATGCGGCACCTCAGATGTCTGTGCTTCGTCCGCCCATCTCCGGACTCGATCCAGTTCCTCATCGATGAGCTGCGCGAGCCCAAGTATGGCGAATACAACATCTACTTCAGCAACATCATAAAAAAGTCCTCGCTAGAAAGATTGGCCGAGGCGGACGATCATGAGGTGGTGAAGGCAGTCCAGGAGTACTTTGCAGATTACATTGTGGTCAACCCAGATCTGATGACCTTGAGCCTGGGTTTTCCCAAACAGAGACTATGGAGCCACAGTCCAGACATCTGGAACACCGATGCATTGCAAAGGACCACCGAGGGTGTGGTCGCCCTTCTATTATCACTGAAAAAGAACCCGCTGATACGGTACGAGAAGAACAGCCTCATGGCGAAGAAGCTAGCCACCGAAGTCCGCTACCAGATCACCCAAGAAGAACAACTGTTCGATTTTCGCAAGACTGACACTCCGCCACTGCTACTGATTTTGGACCGGAGGGATGATCCTATTACTCCACTACTCACCCAATGGACGTACCAAGCTCAAGTCCATGAATTGCTCGGCATCTACAACGGCCGAGTCGATCTGAGCGCTGTTCCCGACATCCGGCCAGAGCTCAAGGAAATCGTCCTCTCGCAGGATCAAGATCCATTCTTCAAGAAAAACATGTATCAAAATTTCGGCGACCTGGGCGGAAGCATCAAGGAATATGTCAACCAGTATCAGACCCGAACCAAATCCACCGCCCAGATTGAGTCAATAGCCGACATGAAACGCTTTGTCGAGGACTACCCAGAGTTCCGAAAACTCTCCGGCAATGTCTCTAAACACGTAACTCTGGTCAGCGAACTCAGTCGTCGTGTCTCGGCAGACTCACTGCTTGACGTCTCAGAATTGGAGCAAAGTTTAGTCTGCAACGACAATCATGCTGCCGATCTCAAGACCTTACAGCAACACATTCAAAATCCGAGCATCCCTGCAGACAATAAAATCCGCCTCGTAGCGCTCTATGCCATCCGCTACGAACGCAACCCCAACAACGCCCTGCCTGTTCTCCTTGACTTGCTTACTTCCGTAGCCGACGTCCCTGCGTATAAGATCTCTATCATTCCCAAGCTTCTTGCTTATCATCACAGTCTTCAGCCTGCTCCCGTTGGTGGAGCTACCGGCTTTACCGACCTTTTCGACTCCGGTTCTTCTCCATTCAGCCAATTCCGCCGCAATTTGAATCTGAAGGGCGTTGAGAATGTATACACACAGCACTCCCCGCGTTTGGAAAACACGCTTCAGAATCTCATCAAGGGGCGATTGAAGGAACTACAATATCCCTTTGTGGACGGACATCATACGCGGGATAAACCTCAGGATATCATCGTGTTTATGGTGGGAGGCGTCACATATGAGGAAGCCAAGATGGTAGCGCAGGTCAACGCCTCGGTGCCGGGCGTGAGAGTGGTGCTAGGAGGAACAAACGTGGTTAACTCAACAATGTTCCTGGAGGAGGTGGATGATGCGGTCGGAAGCTGGCCGGATCAAGGTCCTGCGACAGCGAGAGAAAGACTGGGCAGAGCCGTAGGAAGGTGAGAGGCCCCAGGGCATTCAGACTAAAGGGACTTATATCTCCTCCGTCGACCCTTTTCAAACCCATTTGATCTCAGACATCCCGCCAAAAAATTAATGTCGAAGCACCTGCTTCTCCACAAGTCTGTGGTCTTCGGGGCAAGGCACCGCCCTGTCGCTTGTGTTTGCTGCAATCGGTGGCAGGATCGAATCAGTCCTGTGCTGTTATAACAGGGACTGTCCTCAAAGACGAGGTCTACTCCAAGCCCGAAGCATGCCAGTACCGATGCTGGCGGCAACTGAAAGTATGCTGCCTCGAGGGCGGCCAGGTAACGCGGTGATCCCATTGAGTGACGATTGCTTTGATCGACTTTTTTGGATCTGGTGACTACCCGTCTCGGAAGACTGGATCCCACGACAGGATCACCCAGGAGAGGAATGGATTCAGTAAGGGAAGCTCCTGATAGGCAACTTACTGTTCCGGCTTTTCAACGTGAGAGCACCACTCGCCGATCGCCCTTCTTGTCTTTGGCCGGATGTCCTATCATACACGAGCATCATGCAAACCCGAGCAGCTGGTTCAGCATTGTGCGCGCAGCAGCCTCATGCATTCGTGCTACGCGACCGTTGGCATTGTGAATGGATGGACGACCAGGCTTAAGATCCGTTGTACCGTCGAGTAAGGATGTTCTTGATACTGGACAAGACCGTTGACGGAGGGTGATGATACAAGCACAGCTGTGCGACTAATACACATGATTTTCCCTTCATGATGATGGTGAAGGACCGCTTGGCTCTTTCTTCGCTTCCCCATCCATACCTCAGCTCAGTTTTTCCCTTCTCCCCTTTCATCCTTCTAGTTTTCCCTTCTCCCCTTGTTCCTCCCTTGTCAATATTCTCACGGCCTGTTTATTCCCCAAGTAACTCAATCCGCTCCACACCGTCGTCGCAGCTACAAGATAATACCAACCTTCCATGACGCCCCAGAGATTCCACGTCTCGGTAAACCACGCGGGCAAGACGGGCAGCAACATTGCATTGCCGACCAACAACAACTGCAGTAAAGTATTGATCTTTGAGATCTCCGTCGGATGGACCTCGGCCGAGGGGAGTGAGAAGTCCCAATATCGCGTGAACGTCTTGGGCGGCGGGAGGGAGATCCAGCGGAAGTAGATAGCCGAGATGGCCAGCCCGACATCCCTGCCTAGCACGATCACGGCCAGCCATAGGGGCAGGGTGCCGTTCGCGGTGAGTGTGACCACGCACGTGGTCATGAGGATCTTGTCGGCCATTGGGTCGATGACCGTGCCGACGACCGTTTGCGAGTGGAAGCGCCGCGCCAGGTAGCCGTCGATCAGGTCCGTGAAACCGGCGTAGGCGAATAAGGCCAGAGCCGTCAGGGGTTCGTGGTGGAGCACGAAGTAGCCTATCATGGGCGCTGAGAGGAGTCGGGACAAAGTGAGGGCGTTGGGGATCGTGTAGATGTTCTCATGGGTCTGGGCCTGGGTGAGGGATCGGGGCAGGCGGGGTGGGAGGATCGTCGATGTGGTCGGAGGTGGGATTGGAGAGGTTGGTGAGGGCTTGAGGCCGCTGGGGAGAGGATATCAGCGTGTATCTTTCCATTCGAATGAGTAGTGAGCAGATGACAAAGGGAACCGGTGAGATGTCTTCCATTCAGGGGGATTATAGCTTGCTCTGATGTCCATCGACAATGATGTTCCTGTAAGACCATACTCACCCTGGCCGGGAAGCAGAGCAAGACATCTGGACTCAGCCGTATACAGAGTCCAACCACTGGAAAAAGTATATACTTTTCCCTTCGTACCCAGGGAAGCACAGTGGCTGTATTTCTCAACCACTTCGACACCTCTAGAAAAGAAGGTAAAGCTGTGCTCTGGACTGATGAATGCTTTCTTCCCGAACACCGAGAAGAAAAGGGGAAAAGAAAATCAGGGAAAAGATATCGTCGCCGTGACGTACCTACTGCTAGTTTCCTCCTGCGTATTATCAGGCCCCTTGCGGCCATTTGCATTTGATATCGAGGGCGTGGTCGAAAAGTTGCACTCGCGGGACAATCGACTGACCATCACGCCACGCGAACGGAAGCCACTCGAGGTGTGAAACGCTGAAATTCTCATGCATGATCTGCTTGAACGCTCTGTCGTCAGCTGATATGTGTGTTTTACTGGTTTTCATACCTCCCCAACGGGGCATGAAGGTGAGAATGAAGACGAAGAAGAGAAGAAGAGGGTGTCGTTGTACCTTGTTATCGAAAGAGAGGGTGAAGTTGGAGCTCTGCCATACCAAATACCCCCTGTCCACGAGTGCGACGACAGTGTAGGAGTTGAGAAAGAGCAACTCTGATCAGTGCTCGCTATTCGTCTGCCGTGGCCGCTTCGGTGCCTGTTCGACGATCGTGGCAGAGCAACGCGGTTCCAATACCTCGAGGGCAATGAGAGAGGTCTAAGAGCAGACAACCTGGCGGCGGCGGCGGCTCGACTCATTGCCGCACCGGGCCAAAGTGTCACCGTCGAGCTTGCCAGAATCTGGACATTTTGTTGGGCTGAAGGGATCATTCAAGTCTAGACTACCTAGTCGCGAAGCAATACCTCGAGACAAAAAAAGGAGAGGGAAAAGAATTTCCCCCCTGACTGGCTGACAGATTGATGGACCTAGATGTTGCGAGGGTGCCTAGGCCTGCTGGCTGGGATATAAGAATGTCTCTCTCTCCAGCGAATTGTTGAAGCGAAGTCGAAGGAATGGGTTGGATGCCAGATGGGCAGACCGAAAATAATCAGACTGTAGACGCAACACGCGTGGAGAAAGTTGACGTTGAGGTTTTGGGAAAGGACGTGGCTGACTAAGCGTCGGGCTGTGGTTCTGCCGCAGGGTAGATCCAATACGCAGAGAAAAGAGAAAGCAATGGTTGAGCTGCTTATGAGCCAATACAATCGTGAACAAACCGTTCGAATGAGACATGAGGAAGACAGCAGTGTTAAATATTCTGTCGCCGCAGAGAGGGAAGAGGGCCGCTAGCATTCGAGACGCCGTCGCTATGTAACCTTCCTCGATTCAATTGTACAGCAGCCAGAGTTATCATGTTATACAGCAATAGCTCCTCCAAGCCGAGCACTATCGCCTTGAAGCATCAATTCTCCTTCTGGCATCTTGCTGCGGCCGTTCTTCTTCGCGTACTTCAATAGCCTCAGCGCGCCATGTGGCGTGACACCCTCCACCCTTCTCGCCATTCCCACACTGGCAGGTCGCACCAGCTTCAACACCTCTCTCTCTCCAATGCTCAACCCAAACACCGAATCATAGTCCAGATCCGCGGGTAAGGCGAGGGACTCGTCTCTTGCAAACGATTCGGCGGCTTTCTGTTGGAAGGAGATGTAAGGGGCATAAAGGCTTTCGATTTGTACTCTGTTCTGGACCTTGCTTGAGTAGTTGGAGATCGATGGGAGAGATTGGACGCGGTCAGCAATGCTTTTCATGTCGACGCCCGTCACCCGTAGCATGTCGAACGCGCTCCTGCGGTTTGAGTCGATGCGTGAAGGAAATCCCATTTTCACCCATTCTGTGCTTGGATATTGGACTTCTTCAAGTTTGCTTTGCAACTCTGCCATTTGGTCCCGAGTGCTTGTGAAATGCGCCCAGCGCCTATCACTCACGACGCCGACCTCGCGGCCTTTCTCTGTTAGACGCAGATCCGCATTGTCGGAACGACAGCTCATGCGGTATTCGCTTCGCGCTGTGAACATCCTGTACGGTTCGCTCACGCCCTTTGTGATGAGGTCGTCGATGAGGATGCCGATGAATGCTTCGGCGCGGGAAAGAGTGAATGGTCCTTTTCCTTGGGCGGATAATCCTGCATTTATACCTGCGACAATCCCCTGAGCCGCGGCTTCCTCGTAGCCTGTTGTGCCGTTAATTTGCCCGGCCAGGAAAAGCCCTTTTATGAGCTTCGTCTCGAGGGTCGGGAATAGATTTCGCGGGTCAATATAATCGTACTCGACACCGTACCCAGGTTGAAGCATTTTGACATTCTCCAGTCCCTTGACGGTCCTGAGCATGGCGTACTGTGCATCAGCTGGAACTGTCATGCTGATGCCATTGGGATAGATGATTGTGTTGGGCTCAAGGCCTTCGGGCTCCAACCAAATCATATGTCTTTGTTTATCCTTGAACTTGATGATCTTAGATTCCAGGGACGGGCAATATCGAGGCCCCTTGACAGTTTCCCGAATGTGAATCGACTTGTCCAGATTAGCTCGGATTATCTCATGGGACGCTTCATTCGTGTAGGTGGTCCAGCAATTGAGTTGGCCAGCATCTCCGATCTCAACGGTGTTATTCAGGTAGGAAAAGGGCGTTGGCGGTGAATCGCCCGGCTGCACTTGCAAAACGCTGAAATCAATGGTGTCACGATCCAATCGTGGTGGAGTTCCTGTCTTCAGTCGTCCCAATGTGAATCCGGCACTCCGTAATGACTGGCTTAGGCCAAAGGTAGCAGCCTCGCCCATCCGTCCGGAAGGATAGGCCTCCAGTCCAATATGTATCTCTCCACCAAGAAACGTCCCAGTAGTGATAACCACATGGGATGCAGGAATGACTTGGCCATCTTCAAGTCGAATGCCAGTTATACGTCCTTGCGATATCTTGTCCCCCGCATCGATATTCTCTCTTGAAACAATGATATCCGCGACTTTGCCTTCTAATATGCTTAGGTTTGGTGTTGACAACATCTCTTCCCGCATGTATTTCTTGTACAGATCTCGGTCAATCTGCGCTCGCGGACCCCATACCGCAGGACCTTTCTTGATATTCAACATTCGAAATTGGATACCCGCCTTATCGATTATGCGACCGGCGACTCCGTCTAACGCATCGATCTCTCGGATCATAGTGCCCTTGCCGATGCCACCGAAACTAGGGTTACAGGAACAGACCCCCAGATTGGATAAAGACGGAGTAACTAGCGCTGTGCGAGCGCCTGATCTTGCAGCGGCAGCACTGGCCTCTGTGCCTGCATGACCGCCGCCGATGACGACTACATCGTAAGGCCTGGATTGGGTCAGTACAAATGTGCAAACAAGGAAGACCAGAGGGGCATACTTGACGGCGTCCGCCACGGCCGCAAAGAAACGACGCTGTCGCAATAAAATACAAGACCTGGTTCGGGGAGTGTGGCCCCATTGAAAGGGGCTCGATTGCCGTAACACCGACCTCATGATGAAGTCGAGTCGGGGGTATGAGATACACGGATGCGAACAATGCGATAACTCTCAGCGGCGATGGCGAACAATTTGGGCCCATCGGATAAACTTCGGCATTTGGAGTACCTACAAGACGAGAGGGCAACAAGGGCGAGAGGGCGAGAAGGCGAGAAGGCTATTAATACTGGGTACCGAGTAAGGCTGTGCTCGGTCTGTGCACAGTCGAGAACTACATACCCAGCCTTATCTAGAGCGTTGAAGCCTTTACGTCCTCTTGCGCGAGCTCTGTCACCCAGCATTCATGTCAATTCAAACGCAGCACAATCCTTCTTATCAAGGCTTTGCGCCATGAGCTTTGGATTCTCCATCTCAGATTTCCTGGAAGTTGCGAAGTTGGTGGAAAGCACGAGGAAACGGTTCAAGGGAGCGCCTGTGCAATACAGTGCTCTTGCTGCTGAGTTCATATTTTTGCCTTGCATTCAGGAGTCACTTCCTCTCATCATTCCAGGACGCGAACACTTCAAATAGTTGTCGCCGACCTTAAGCTTCAGATCGAAGACGACCAGCTTGCAGATTCAATCATGCACGACTTGCAAAGTGCTATGAACAACTGCGAATCCGTCTTGAAAGACCTGAACCATATCATCGATGCCCACACTGAACTTGGTTCACCGGCTGCATTCCACGAAAGGCGGCAGCGTGAATATGGAAGCGCCTCAATCGGGATCCAAACGAGGCAAATCAGCTACGCTCTCGGCTCCAATCGTCCATCCAGCTACTGGCTACTATACGCCAATGTTTGGACAGGTGAGACCTAACACAGAGCCTGTACTCGGGAACCGCTGATCTCCTAGTCTTAGTTCACTGCAACACCGCATAGCTCAAGAGCTGGCGAATCAGGCTGAAACCGAACGGAAAATAGAGTCCAAACGTTCGCGGACTGGCTTGCGCAGGACACCTATTCTGAGCATCAACATGACTATTTCGCAAAGGTTCAAGTGGGGACAGGACAATGGATATTCAACTAACCATTGTACGGCAATTGGCTCAGTAGTGGGGGCCCCTCTACACTGCTACTTCCTGGCATTCCTGGGGCTGGCAAGACTTTTGTTGCTTCAGTCATCATCAATGAGCTAGCTGTCCGCACGTGTCTGTCAGGATGGCACTTCAGCTCTTGCGTTCTTCTATAACAGTTTCAAGAGGACGGCTACCCAGTCCCGCCTCCTCATCATCTCTAGCATGGTGCGCCAACTGTTTCTGCACAAACCACCAGAATAATGATGTGATCAAGAGCGTCTATGAGGAGCACAACATGCGCCAACCGGCCACGTATCCCAATCTGGAAGAAATGTGCGCGACGTTGGAAAAGTTGTTGTTGGGGTTCTCGACAGTCATCTTGGTGATCGATGCCCTGGATGAGTGTAAGGGACCAGAGAGACCTGACGAGAGGCCATGGAAATATATTCTCACCCTGATGTTTCAGATGCAAAAGAAGCTGGAGCCCCAGGTGGCTATCAAGGTGCTTGCAACTTCACGACCAGATCTGGAAATTGACGAATTTTTCCCAGAAGAGGAACGGCTAACAATCTACGCAAGAGATGACGACCTTGGTAAGTTTTGTGATTCGCTGATACCTAATATCAGGTGCTTAGCCCAGAAGATCGAGCTGCACTCAAGGATTAAAGAGGCTATCTGTGAGAGCGCTAGGGGCATGTAAGTGATGCTACCACAGGTTATTTCATTTCCTCCTCCTCCTCCTGCTGCTGGGTGCTGCTTCTTCTTCTTCTTCTTTTCTTTTTTCTTTTTTCTTTGTCTTTGTCTCTGTCTTTGTCTTTTGCTTGGCTGACTCTTGTCTCTTTAGGTTTTTATTGGCGAAACTGCACTGCGACACCCTCGCGACAAAAACAAAACCCAAGGACGTGTTACAAGCACTTAAGGCCTTTGGCGGGGATGGCGATGCTCTTGCTTACCAGGACACTCTCCAAAGGATACAGAACCAACCCAAAGAACACAGAGCACTCGGTAAGAAGGTCTTGGTTTGCGTCACCTATAGCGCTCGGCCACTAACTCTAGACGAACTGCGGCATGCGCTCGCCGTCGATGAAGAAACCAAAGAACTGGATCAGGAGTACGACTTAGACAATCCTGACGACGTGATCTCAAGTTGTGCCGGCCTGGTGACAGTTGACTCTGAGAGCAACATCATTCGTTTAGTCCATTATACCACACAGAGCTTTCTGGAATCGCTCAGGAACCAACTGATGTCAGATCCCCATGAATTCATAGCCAGTTGCTGTTTGAATTATCTGCACCTGGATGCTTTCGAAGGCCACCTCAACAACTATGGGTTTGGAAGTAGCCGAAAGTTTCCGTTCTTAAGATATAGATGATGTTGAATTACGTCCTGGTGCTTGAAACTTATTTCTTGAGCAGTCTACATAGCTCCAATTCCGGACTTTCACTAATCGCTCGCGTGCCGGCAGTATATAGTCATTTCCCTTTCTTGGTTGTATCCCTCATTCGTCGTTATTGCATGACCTGCATCCATTAACTTCAATGCCTTACCCATGTGTGGCTCATTGCTGCCAAAGGCACTCCTCCACTGGTTGAATAAAAAGGGGAGATAGGAAAATTTCCACCTTTTAGCCATCAGAAGCCAGGAACTCGCCCGTCCACCGAGCACCGGAGTCGTCGCCGCCGTCGCCCTGCTCCTCTAGGTCAGGTTCGGGCACGACGATGCGAAGCACAGGTACTCCACGGATCGTCCACCTCGTCGGCGCCTGCTTGAGTGGCGCGGGGTTCAGGTACCACTCAAAGGAGCCGTCAAAATTGACAACGCAGGGCCACAGACTGACCGCGTCGTACGAGGGAATCAGGCCGGGCTTGACGGCCCAGAAGTCTGCGAAGTCGCGCTGCAGCCGCTCCGCCACTGCGGTCGGCTTGTGTGGGAATTCCTGCGAGATGCGGTCCCTGCCCATCGTGAATGCCGCCGCGATCGAAGAAGGGAGCTTGATTTGTTGTGAGACGCCGCGTTTGGTGATGAAGCGCCACCATGGCATTAGGAGGCCATTGACCATGTTCATCGTCCACAGGGGTATTAGTGTGTGATCCTCGCCGCCGCCGCCAAGGACATCGACCGGGGGACTCTCAAAGACGAAGCTGACGTCGAAGGGCAGGGCCGGGAATTTCGGGTCGTAAGAGCAATACACCGGACCGTAGTGGCGGCGGCGCGACATCTCGATGACTCCGCAACACGCAGCGTCGCAGGACAGGTTGGCGCGCTGCTTCAGAAGGAAGTAGAGCGTCGTCGAGAGACTTCTGGAATAGTGCTTGACGCGCTGCACGACAGCCAGGAACTCGCCGCGCGCAGCCCACCCGCCATCATCAACAGCAGTCTGTCGTGATGTTTGTTGCTCTGACTGCTGCTGATCGTCCCCTTGGAGATCATCAGCTCCGTCAACACCAACCTCAACCTCCTGCGCTGCCACCGCAGGTATTAGGGGGGTAAAGTGCACGACAAGCGCGGTCCATTTGGACAGAGGCAGCCGCAAGATCTTCTCCAGCAGCAGCGTGCACCGGCACTCCTTGTGCCCGATACTCTCCAACAGCGGCTTGCAGTCGCAGGTCTTTTCGCCGCTGAGGCAGAAACGCAGCGGCCGGCGGAATACCTGACGTAAAGTCTCGCGCCGAATTGAGACGCTCGTCTTCAGCAACGACCGGATCGTCTCTAGATCGACGTCGTACCTAGCACCGTTCGAGACACGCAGCCCGTCGCCCACGACGTAGCCGATCACTCTGTAGGTTATCTCCTCGGGCAGGAAGGGAATATCCTTGTTGTTGTACCGCGCCTCCTGGGGAGGTGGTGCATGCTGCACTTTGGCGCCGGAGAGGGAATCGTCAATCATGATTCACGATGCATGCCACATTGGGGCAGACGGCCCGAGATGATTCTAAGACATCATAGAATATAGATAGACTATTCTCACGGGGAGGGTCCAGTAGTGGCGCTGATGATGCTGGCACAGAGCCTGTCTTATTGTTTCCACTCGGGAGATCAAGAGCGTCAGTGATGGCGGCGGCGCAATATAAGGAAAGTGGGCATGTCCAAGGACAAACGTGGCAGAAACGGAGAGGCGCTATGTATGGAGTAGAATCTGTCAAACGGTTTTAGCGGAAATTTTCAAATGACATCTATCCAAAAGCTGAAGGAGGAACTGTCTTCGTAGAAGGAAACGTATTTCAAAAAGCTAAAGGAACAGGCAAAGGGTGATAAGAATAGTTAAACCATCTGCTCGACGTGAGGAGGTTTGGAGTGACACGAGTTCACTCATGGAGATGGTAAAAGCTGGCAGAAGGGAGCACGTAGAATGTGGCATCCCGACTTCAATTTTATCTGTTGGTACATGGATTGGAGACTTCATCCCTCTGTTTCCCGGTGGTTGTATCGTACACAATGCTGAAGACGGCATGATGGGATCGTCTTAGAACGGTACTGTTCTGCCTCAGAACACAACGTTCAACACTTTCCCTCCGCTAACAATAATTACTCTTTTCCTTTTCTCCCAGTTGTTCTTCTCCGTCAGCCATACCCGCCCTTCTTCTGTTTCAAGCACAGCACGGATGATCTCTGCCTCTCGTGCTGCCGAGTCGGATCCAGCCCTGCTTTTCGGTGGAGGAGAGGGGACTTGTGCTGTGAACCGTAGTTTTCCATTTATCTGCACTGCGCAGGTGATGCTCGTTTTGCGGCTTCGCAATGCAACCTCCTGTTCCGAGGTCATGACATCGCCTGTCCACGGCACGTCGAAGATACTCCTTCTTTCCGCGTCTGGCACCACTCTTTCCCAGCATTCCTCTGCGAAAGCTGGTGTGATAGGCGCCATCATCTTCAGAAGCGCGGTGACGGTAACGTGGGCAATCGAAGGTGTCAGGTTGTTGATTCCGATCGCTTCTAAGCCGTTCGTCAGCTTGATGAGGTCAGAGACTGCCGTGTTCAAGCTATAAATATCTTTGGAGAATGTCTGCGAGATACTTTTACTGGTGCTTTGCGTCAAAAGTAGGGCGTCGGCGTCATTCGTGTTCAGGGTGTTCAAGGCAGGAATGCTGATCTGTGAGACATCATGTCGACCTGTCCGCTCCTGCACATCCAACTCAGAGATGATACGATTGACCCGACCAAACCATCTCTGTATCCCAACGATCTTTTCCTCGTCCCATTGTAGCACTTCACTGACTGGGGCGGCGAAAAGGATGTGAGCCCGTAGAGCATCCGCTCCAAACTTTTCGATGGCGACGGACGGGTCGACGCCGTTATGCTTACTCTTAGACATCTTTTCCCAAGTGACATTTGGGGCCTTGCCAGTTGCTTTGATACTGGCAACTTCGCCATCAAAATCGACCTCACTAGGCAGCAAGAACCGGCCGCTGTCAGGATCTGAGAACGTTTTCCCGTGAACCATCCCTTGTGCTATAAGTTGCTGGAAGGGCTCAGCATGCCTATTGCCGTCTGAAATAAGACATTCCTTGCACAGAAATTTGTAGATGAAACGTGCGTAAAGCAAATGCAGAATGGCATGTTCGACACCACCGACATACGTGTCCACAGGAAGCATATCGGCTGCAGATCGTTGTGAGAAGGGCTCCGCCTCGTTCATTGAGTCTGCGAAACGCATGAAATACCAAGAAGAGTCGACGAATGTATCCATCGTGTCCGTTTCTCGCTTGGCCGGGCCTTTACAGGCTGGACATTTGCAATTGACCCATTCCTCGATCTTGTCTAGTGGATTACCGGTTTGTCCCTTGACAGATGAATCGAGTCGAGGTAATACCACGGGAAGATCTTCCCTGGGTACAGGGACTGGTCCGCAGGTTGAGCAATGTATGATAGGAATTGGTGTACCCCAATATCTTTGTCGGCTCACCAGCCAGTCACGCAGCCTCCAAGACTCGACAGCTTCTGCGAGGCCATGTTCCTTCAGGTCAGAAATAATCTTCGTTCTGGCCTCATTGCTTGACAGACCCGCATAAGGGCCACATAAAGAAGTCAGCCAGCCGTCGGTTGTGTATGCCTCCGACACCTCGGCCGGATACATGTGACCGGCGCTATCATCCACAGGTTCTGGCGATATCGCAATGTTGACAGGATCTGAGGGCCTGTGAAGTTTCCAGAAGCTCAAATCGCGAGAGTCATGTGCTGGGACTCCCATCACTGCGCCTTCTCCGTAGTCCTCCAACACATATGGAGCGGCAAATACTGGTAACGGCTCAGTATTCGGGTCTCCGACCTGAGAAAGAGGGTTGAAGGCGTCAAGTGGTAGTTGGAAGCCTTCCTTGGAGTCCGGGGCGAAGGAAGCTCGCCTGTCAAGAAACAATTGTAGTTCAGGCGACTTAGCGGCAGCCTGGACCACCAGAGGATGTGTCATTGACAACGCAACATATTTCACCCCAAACAGCGTATCAGGCCGGGTAGTGAAGACACGGACGTGAGAAGAGTTCCCGGCGTCATCCCTTAAGCCAAACTGAATGCGTGCGCCTGTCGAGCGGCCAATCCAATTCCGCTGCTGGGTTACAACTCTTTCAGGCCACTTTCCTCCGTCCGACAGATAATGCAGGTCTCGTAGCAAGTCCTCCTTGAACTCTGTGATTTTGAAGAACCACTGGCGGAGTTTGATCTGTTGCACAAGGGCTCCGGACCTCCAGGAGCGTCCATTGTGGTCAACCTGTTCATTGGCGAGGACTGTTTTATCAACGGGATCATAATTGACCAGCGCCTCCGCTTGATATGCCAATCCACGGTGATACAACCTTAGGAAAATGTCTTGGGTGTGCTTGTAGAACGACGGCGAACATGTTGATATTTCCTACGAACAGTTGATCAGCATTATGTACATGTCTTCCATGCCTCTGACCTACAGCATCCCAGTTGAAACTTGTATTCATGCTCTTGAGCTGCTGTTTCATCTTTGCGATATTATCTTCCGTCCAAACAGCCGGATCAATGCCGCGCTCGATTGCGGCATTCTCTGCCGGGAGTCCAAAAGCATCCCAGCCGGTCGGATGAAGCACATCGAAACCTTGCATTCGTCGATAACGGGCAATAACGTCCGAGATGGTGTAGACGCGAAGATGCCCCATGTGAAGAGATCCGGACGGATAGGCGAACATGGGCAGGACGTAGGACTTGCGCGGAGGACTCGACTGTCCTACAACTTTCGGCTGGCTTGCCCATCTCTGCTGCCACTTAACATCGATGGCACGAAAGTCCAGGCGAGGAACTTGGGAGGCAGCTCGAATGGCGGTTGTGTGCAGGGTCCGGACAATGCGCAGCCTCACAGACTGGCGAGCATAGAGCCTCCCCTGCATAACCTCCAGCCCCTCCACCGCCGTCTAGGAGGAAAGAACGACAAGAAATTGTGAAGCACGATGAATTCTGGTAGGAAACAGATGCGGGCTGCGGCGACATGCAAAAGATTGCTGGAGGGAAGGTTGACCGAGTCCCGTGACTATGCGAAACGATAGAAATCTCGACGACGCTCGATTTCTTCACATTCTGCTTCTTCTCTGACTGACAAGCAATCATCTTCCAACTGTCCGGTGTCCAGACAGTCAAATCAGCTATGATGAGGCCTATCCCACTGGAGCGACCCATATCACAGACCTCACACCTGTCGCAAATACATGATCAACTCCTCTGTCGAAGCCGTAGAAGTTCCACTCACGTCTTTGGCAAGGTAGGGACGACTGTTCTCGCCAAACCATCGGAATCTTAACATTCAACGAACTGTATCGAAGCTCCTGCATCTTGTTGACTGACTGAGACGTGGATATGAAACCCTCTCTCACAGTTTTTGACCAGGAAGCGGATAGAACAAGGGAACAGCAGTCTCAAAAACAAATATGGTCCTTCTCCGTTTGCTGTCTCAGGACTTAACGGTCGGGGAGTTTCCACAAGCCCGTTGACTTACTAGGAGCACTTTGAGTCAAGGACTCCACGGCCATGGGTGAGAATAACTCTCAGGGTTGCGATGCATTTTGACGATTCGGTACTATCGATCTTGGTAAGTTGAGCAATCCATGTCCCACACTAGCTTGTCTGCTGGCTACGCGCAAGCTTTTTATATTTTGCAAATTTATTCTCTCTACAGCCAAATCTCCGTCTTCCAAGGTACATATATACCTCACACAAGCGGTACAACTTGCATTTGCAAGTGAAGGAATTCTGAAAGCAATTCTCGATTCAGATCACATGCTGCTTCGTATATACCTCACACCAGCAGTACAATTTGCTTCTGCAAGTGAAAGAGTTCTGAAAGCAACTCCTGGTTCCCATCACATGCTGTATAACGCTAGTACTAGCCACAGGCGCCGAGAAAATGCAATAGCATGTGTTCACCTATAGGTTATATAAACCTCCCTGATCTATCACCCATCGCCTGATTGGCTCATTCACAGCTTGAGTCGCTCCTTAGAAGGCTCGCGAGCTGGCGCATTCTTTCTCTTATCTCCTCAACGTGTCTCGATCTGGAGGTTCATCTGTGATATCACACATTCATGAACTTCTTGCCTAACTTTGCGACCAAACAACCACTGTTTGGTTGTGTCAGTGACCGAGGCAGTGTTCATTCCAAGACGAACTCAGATTTTCCGTCATTCATGAGCTTCAAAGTCGGAAGATTCAGACTTATATCACTCTCTGACTTGCTTTCCCTGTCATAGAAGGCAGACAATCTTCATTCGTCCTGTCAAAATGGCACCCATCACTGCTGTGTGGATGAATGGAATCAACAACAGTAACAAGGCACGCACATTTAAATGTCTAGACCTCAGCTAATCCTTTGGTAGGACATTTCCAGCCAATTCCGACCCATTCGCATTCTGCAAATGTCCAATCAAGTGCTCCTCAATTGGCGGCCATATTTAAGTCCCAAGTTGCAACTGTTCAACCTTCCACCGTCGAATACCCGAAGAACCACTTCCTTGGTATTCCTCAAGAACTTCGAGACGCCATTGTGGCATTTCTTATCCATTCCCAGCACGCCATCGGGGCTCGACCTTCGACCGGATGCGAGATATTTCATTTCGTCTGTCGACAGACATACCACGAATCATGCAGATGCCGAAATTCCCAAGCCACTGTACTAGTGCCTGCCAATCGAGCGAAAGAGTTCCTCATGACGACGTTGAATATAAACACGATCAAGAGCAATGTTTCCAAGCGTGTTAAAACTCTCTTCCTTGAAATCCCGCACAACAGCCACAGTAATGTCTTCCTCCAGATGGCCGAAGTTTTGAGACGTTCAACTCAGCTCGAAGAGCTCCACCTATTCGGCGTAGGAGTAGATGGTTATGGGGTCAAGACGAGTTCCACTACTCACCCTTGTGGTAAACATGATATTTCGATTGTACCATGGGTCCGCCGGCTAGCTATTGATGGACAGCAGTACCAACGTCGCCTGGCTCTGGTCAACAGCATTCCCTGGCTGGCGAAGCTGAGGGTCCTAGTTTTGGACAACCTCAACCTTCCTCTCCTTCAAGCACATGTCCTCAAGAACAAACCACGGCTACAGAAGTTGTACATTGCAGCAGATCCCCGGACTGTCCTACATGGCGAGTACATCAACATATGCCAGGCAGTTGGCAATCTCATATTCCCGGTGCACGAGCAAGCCCCTCCAGTGAGAGAACTACGTGTCGATTCGAATTCCATCTTCAGCACAAGTCGGGTCACCATAAAAATGGCTACTACTCTGGAAAGCCTAGAACTGGTGATTCCCGACATGGAATTCCAAGTGCATACGAACAAAATCAATTTCTATCAGGAGGCTACTTTCCTTCTGCATGGACTCCATATTGCCAAACGATTGCGCAAACTCAAAGTTTGTGTTCATGGTACCCTGTCGGAGGAAAGCTATCATTATGCAAACTTTATGGGGGCTCTAAAGGACTGCGTCTCACGAATGGAATCACTTCAAGTTATTGAACTTCATCTCCATTCTCAGTCGCCCTGGTTTGCTCGAGAATTCATTATAGCAGTGCCTCGGTCTGTCACTCGACTCTTCCTCACTGATCTGTTCATCTCGAGAGATGTGGTTGATCTCTCGGCCTTCATTGGTGAAAAAACAAAGACACCTTTGCAGGATTCAATTGAAACCAAGGAAGCCTACGCGATTGGAGAGGATCTCCAGAGAAAGGACTACATCCAATTCAGCGACAATCAGCTGGCTTTCGTAGGCTACGAGTATGATGTATTTCTAGGGCGGAGTGCAGCAAAGCAAACCAAAGATATGTTCAAATTTTTGAAGCTCAACGGCAGAATGCTGGACAAGGAACGAAACCGACATTTGGCTCCCCTGAAAGGAAAACACATACCCTTCAAGCAGAGCGGCGTCCGAGAATACTCAATGACGGCTAAAGCAGCCTGGAAGGCGAAAGTTACCAAGTATAGCAAAGAGCTTGTCAATTGTGGCTTGGATGACAACGAGTACTTTGGGATGGAAGATGTGGCAGAAGCGCTCTTCGAGGACGAACCCGTGGCTAAAGGTGGCCGCTACAGCTATCCAGCTGTCTATGAGGTCGAACCGGAATTCAAGTTTTCGAACCACTGGCTGAGCAAGTGAGGGGCGGAGGAAGCGAGGGAGTGGCTAATTTGAAGCAAGTCCACGTACAGAACTGAAGTTTGATCTGGGCTGGACATTGGAGCCGGTGGAGGTGCTGATCCTCTGCCATATTTTCATATCGACTGGGATCTAGAGGTATGATCTTTGACGGAAGTGGAGAGAGGAAAAGGTGAAAGTTTCAGAAATCCCCGATTAGAGGCAGAGCAATGAGATAGATAGCTGACAGACCGGGGGAAAATATCAATGAAGTGAAATAAATGAAAAAGTGTCTTGACCAAAATGCCTTTTTTATTCTCAGTGATTGTTTCCCGACCCGATCTGCCACCTGAACCAAAGAATATTACTAACCCTTGACTTCTACTTCGTACAGGGTACTCGGTACCCAGCCCTATCTTGCCCCAGGTATATCCGGCTCCCCGGATCGACAAAGCCACACGCCGTCTTCGAAGTCACCCTCCTGTCAGACCGCGATTTATTCTCCACGTATCAGTGCATTCGAACCAGACAAAAACGGGCTTTTCCCGAGTAAGGTCCTTCGCATTCTGCGCTGATCACTGACTCAAGCGTTGCAGGTACAGCTTTCCCTTGATAAGCAAGGTCGCTCAACATGCAGCGAGATCCAGCTTCTCCTGCCTCTCATGCCTCCGCATCCGCACAGGCCGACTACAACCTCTCTCCCTCTTCTCTATGGCAGGATGGTCGAAAACGCAAAAATGCCCCGCCTGGCTCACGCAGTGTCGACACCCTCACCCCAGAGCAGCTTGCCAAAAAGCGTGCCAACGACCGGGAAGCCCAACGTGCCATTCGAGAGCGCACAAAGCAGACCATTGAGAATCTGGAGCGCAGGATACAGGAGCTGACATCCCACCAACCGTATCAAGAGCTTGAAGCCGTCATCAGACAGAAAGATGCCATCCAGGCCGAGAATGAGGAGATTCGGAGGAGGCTCGCCTCGGTCATGTCCATCATTCAACCCATAGTAGGAGCACAGGGTTTGACTGGTATTGCTCTTCACTCTCTTGAACAATCCCGGCTGTTCCATCTTAACTGTGGTGACTGTCAGATCTCGCAACCGCCGCGCAGCACAATGTCCACGCTGGACCAAGCCAAGCGAATCCCCATCCCAGACCTGTCTTCCCGCCAAATAACGGCGCCCAAGCCGATCCAACCTCCTTCAACAGCCAGCGAAATAGGAGTGCAAGCTTCTCCCTCTCTCCCAATATCTCACAAGGCCACTTAGAAGCCTCAACGCATCCCTCGCCATTTGGAGCAGAAGGGGCCGAGGAGCACAGGCATTTACCTACATCCAGAGATGCTCTGAACAACCAGCGAGACAACCTCCAACGGAGTCTCGAATTGAATGATGGCGGGGAACGTGTCAATTTTGGTTTCCTGCTCGATCTTTTGGGACAGCGAACAGGCAATGCTGGCCCTCAACCTCGACCGCGACCTCAACAACCGCAGATGCAGCAGCAGACCTCGCCTGACAGTCTGGGCTCCGCTTATCCAGCCCTTCCTTCAGCTCTGCCCGACCAACTACAACTTCCCACAGCATCCTGGAGTGTCCTTCCCAAGAACAGTCCGCCCACATGCCCTCTCGATAGTTTACTCCTCAAATTCTTACAATCTCGTCAGCGTGAACCTGTGGGGGGCGCCAACGCTCTTCCCACCACACCGTCCTACCCTTCTGTTTCCTCTCTCCTGAATCCTAGCAGGCCCCGCCGCTCGCTTGACGACTTATCCCAGCTTATGACGGACATCATCTCTAAATTCCCCAACATTTCTGAACTGCCTGAGCAAGTGGCGACATTGTATGTCATGTTCACCCGTATGCGCTGGCAAATCCACCCGACCAAGGAGAACTACGAGCGGCTACCCGAATGGTCCCGGCCTACCCCGGCGCAAGTTTTCCACCCTCATCCAGCATGGATGGATCATATCCTCTGGCCGCGGATGCGAGATAAGGTCGTGGCGAACCCACAGGATTATCCTTTCGACAATTGGTTCTTTCCATATACTTCGGGTCTCAGTGTCAACTGGCCGTACGATCCGGTGGATTGTCTACTGAGCACCTCGGAGAAAGAAGAGCCGGTTATCAATCCAGTCTTTGAGAGCCACATTCGGCGCCTTGAGAACTGGAGTTTGGGACCCTTGTTTGCCGAGACCTATCCTAATTTGGCGGATACGGCGAGAATCAAGTGGAGAGAGCCTTGATGTCTACCACTGTTCCCACTTCCTCCGGACAAGTCGCCATCAACGAGGTTCGGCAGGTCAATGGCGTCATGACCTGCAACAAGACCACTCAATCGACGGATCCAAGGACTATGGACCACTCACTGCACCTGCGTCATGTCGTGTACTGAGCCGTTTAAGGGTTGAGAAGCCCTAGATTGCCCATTTGACCCGGTGAAGAGGAAGACCTGAAGGTGAAACGAAGCTGGGCCTCAAGATAATCAGGAGAAGAAAATGTCATGTATCCATCTGTCCATTCGAGGGATGCAGTCGATGGTGTACACTGCAGCTAACGCATGCCATGTTCTCCACTTCCAATCCCATCGTCCAAAAGGAAACTCGCACTGGGTCTTTTGGAGCGTAATTAACATGAGGCAGAGGAACCCACAATCCAAAGCGCCAGTGAGAGAGTGACCATTGATTCGAGCCCTAATAATCAATCACTCCCGAATCCCGCCATCTCTCGAGGGCGAGGAAAGGAAGACTGTTCCTACTACTACATACCCTACCATGTATGCTCCAGAAGGGCCAGAGTAATAGTGCAAGACGCGTGTAATTTTTGCGCTGTTCTTTCTATACGAGCGCCTTCCCGTGACTTATCCTGTCCCTTTGTGCGCCTTGCATACGGTATGTCATTTCCTTCATGAAAAGATGAAGGGTGGATATTTTGGTGGTTTACCCCCCCTTCCTTGTCCAGTCGAGGACAGCACCTTGTCGTAACATCAAACAGTGTCGGCGACACTTCTCATGCTGCAACTTTCGCATTGTACTTCGCCGCTGCATTATCGAAGAGCTGGCTCTTTTCTTCCAAATCTCTCAGTAGGGTATGCTGTGCATCCCTCTCCCGTAGCTGCTGGAGTAGGCCTTGGACTTCATCGCTCTTCTTCCCGACAATGCTCGCCAACACACCGCTATTGGCAATGGCTTGTACATCTGAATTTGCCATTCCCACCGCTTGCTGCAATGCCGCCTCGGCCTCTTCCAATCTCCCCAAATGTATCTCGGAAACAGCCTGACCCACCAATGCCGTAGGGCTGGTATTCCCTGGCGTGGATGCAAGTTCCTCGTACACGTAATAAGCAGATTGGTACTTCTCCTGCCCGCCTTCCCTTAGATTTGTCCAAGCTTCGGCTAGGTTGATGAGTAACGAATCTTGAGCCCAGCGTTTCGCAGCGGCGACTTCCTTGATCGCCATATCTGTGCGGTTTTGCATTAGGTGGATCTGGACAAGTATTGTGACGGCTTCCAGGGAGCCTTGGTGTTTGGACAAGAGGTCGACGGCTTTCACATATTCGCCTGCTGCCGCGAGGACTGTCCCGCAACATATTTGCACAACGGCATCTTCGCCATCCGATTCGGCCAGAGTCAATGCAGTTTCGAGTGCTGCGGAGTAGTTGCCGGCTGCTTGTTGTGCCAAAGCAACTATTGAGCGGGAGGCGGCGTCTTGCGATTGTTTGAGGGAGGAAACGACGGAGGAGGCATCGCCGACGGCTATTTGTGCGCGATATTTTAGAATCTGTGCGGCGGTCTTGTTTTCTGACGAGAGGGAAGAGGTGTCAAATGCGAGAACGGTGTGGTAGGCGTGCGTGTAAAATGCGGTGGATATATTGAGGAGTTCTGAGATCTGGTCAGTAGCTGAGATTCAGGATGTGAGCCTAGGATGATATGCATACCACCTTCGCCGGAGAAGGGATCCATGATGGCCAATTCTTACAGAGTTTTCCGGGATCGAGTACAAGATATGGCCTGGTCGACAAGGACAATGTGAAAACTGAAGAGCGAGCCCCTCGAAAATGGTGTCAACTTCAATGTACAGAGTAGAGAGGAGCGCTTGGCGAGGAAGGTGCGGCGAGTCTAACTTCCGCTCATATTTCCCACGCCAGCCTCGTGTACTCGGTGCCTTGTGTACGGCAGGCACCAGAGGCTCCCATCCCAACCGCTCACTCCCTCAAACAGAAGCAGTCTTGATCTCATCCGCATTACCGCCGGCGGCACGAATACACGTCCTTGCTGACTATATAAACCCCCGTGAAATCAAGCAAAACCTCAATACCCATTCCCTCTCGCTTTCAACATGCCCGCGCCTCGCGCTCCCCGCTTCAGCTTCGCCTACAGCAGCATTCTCCTCGACCACCAAAAGATCCAAACACGGCGGGCCATGAGTCGAGTCAAGGCCAATTACCACCTCTTCCTCCGAAATCAGCCGAGAAAACCACAGTTCAGTCTACAGGACCTCGGACCACGGAGGAGATGGCAGGTTCCCAGGATGAGGCAGATTGAGGATTGAATGCAGATCGCCGGGTACACATTTCCTCCGGCGTTTGGAAACATGCCCTAGCCGCGGCGTTTCAGCAAGTGAGGAGTTACGGTGTTGTGAATGATTTCAAAGGCGCGAGTTCACGAAATGTAATTTTATGGCTACACGGATCTGGGTATGTCGACCAGTCTCTCCTCCGCTTTGGTAGTGAATGAGAAATCGTCTCTCTTCTCGCTCATCGCTTCTTGAGGAAGCTCTTACAGATTACTCTTTCAGCGGCACGGTGTCTACAAATAGAGCCTTAGAGAAAGCCTCAGGATACCGAGCACCGTGTACCTCAGCCGCATCAATGACCTTCCGGATCTTCTCGTTATCCTGTGGTGTAATTTTGATGTTCAATGCACCCATGTTCTCATCAAAGTTTTTGACTCTCGTGGTTCCAGGAATCGGGATTATGTCGTCTCCCTGGGCCATCAAGAATGCCAGGACAAGTTGGCCCGGAGTGCAGCCCTTTTCGTCAGCAATGGCCTTGATATCCTCGACCAGCTTGAGATTCTTGGGGAAGTTCTCCTCGCTGAATCGAGGTGCAAAGCTGCGGAAATCGCCTTCTTCAAAGTCGGCCCGGCTTTTGATGCCTCCGGTCAGGAAACCTCGACCGAGCGGCGAGTATGCCACGACCGCAACTCCAAGTTCACGGCAAGCCTTGAGGAGACCGATTTGAGGACTCTCAATGTCCATGGAGAACGGGCTGTATTCCAGCTGAACAGCGTCAATGTGCACTACCTAGGTTCCCGAGTTAGCAAGAAGGCAAAGGGGCGAGGCGGACATGTTTACCTTGCAAGCTCTCCGGAGAGTGTCGGCGCTGCACTCACTCAGACCCAGGTACTTGACCTTGCCGGCATCTTGCAGCTCTTTCATGACTTTGACGGTGATCTCAATGGGCTGGTTGGCTTGCACTCTGTGGCAATAGTACAGATCGATCTGATCAATACCCAATCGTCTCAAAGACTTGTCGCACGCTGCTCTGATATAGTCTGGCTCGTTTCTGACCTGGCGGGCCCCCGTGGTGGGGTCGACGAAATTGCCAAACTTTGTGGCAAGAAAGATGTTCTCCCTCTTGCCCGGATTTCGCTTGAACCAGCGACCCAGCAAATCTTCGTTGTCGGCATAAATGTCAGCCGAGTCCCAGAAGCGCTCGCCGGCCTCGTAGACGTGGTCGAGCATGGCATAGCGTTCTTCATCGGGCTTCGGTTTGCCGTAGTAGGCTGAGAGGCCCATGAGGCCAAAACCCAGAGCCGTCACCTCAGGGCCGTTCTTGCCAAGCTTGCGGGTGGGAAGTTGGGGAGCCATATCGAGATGAGCGGGTCGTAGGGAGTTGTGTTGGATGGATTGGACCGGAGGGTTGGGCGGATTGATCGATGATGGATATGGACGAGGGAGGCGGACGAGGCTGGCAGGCCTGTGGGTTTATATATGGTTTATATACGTATGTATGCTGTATGTGGTACAAAGGGGGGAGACGTTCGTCGTGTATATGCATCAACCAGCAAGCGCGTCTCGAACCGGTCTTTAGCCCAAATGCCGTCGCTTGTCCCCCTCTATATCTCATCCCCTTCTTTCACTTTCTCTCTATTCCCCCACCCGGCTACGGGGATGTCATGGATTCATGGCGACTGATTGGTTCTTCTTCCCCTCGTTGTCCTCAAGTATCAAAATCGAAACCGAAGAGCCGAACGCCCCTCCTATCCCTCCGTCCCATTTGCTCTCGCCCGTCTCGTCTTGCTCGTCCCAGTCGCGGCGTTAGGCGTTTGTCGTTTCCTGTTCAATTCAAGTGCCTCTTATTACTAAGGATGGAGGTTAACATTGCTGCGTGCGGCCGCCTTGCCCGCCTCAGTTGACTGCCCGGGCTGCTCAATCCCCATCCACTTGACTGCGCTTACCGTCCCGTGGATCAATGGCCGTCTTCGACTTATCCTACCACCGAGCTAGGGGAGGTTATTACTCAGATTGGAAGGCCACGTCCGTCTCCTCCACGCAACCATTATCAGCCTTGTTTCCAAGATATCAGCCTCCTTCCTCGCGCCGCACCTTTCCTCCACGCGGCCAAATTGCGCTCCAATGCCCACCATCACTACAACTTCTTTCTGAGTCCTCTGCTACTGCTCAATGACTAACCAAAATGCTTGAAAATGACGGCTTCTAGGATCACAATTGTGTATTGGCACCATTTACCCAGGACAAAGTCCGTTGTCGGTTCACTGCAATTTTCCTGTCAGCATCAAGCTAGGATCGAGGATGCGCCGCAACTCGTTCTGCCATTTGAGTTGCTGCTCAGTCCTAAAGGATGGAGACAGAGTGGCAGGTCGTCTCGTTGCCGCCATGTGCTAGACTACCTCTAACAGAATACACATCACACTTTGAGATCGTCCAACTCCTAGGCCCACTATCCTAGCTGATTTCAACGACAAGGAATGTCTCAAGTTCTTAAAACATCTCCGAGACCGACCTGAGTAATCCTCTGCACTAATGCATCAACTGGGCAGAGTTCTCGGCGTGTCAGAGCATCAGAACGTTGATCTAACGACATGCACGACTCAAAAGAAATGTTATGAGGATAGTTACTGCGCTCAGCCTCGGCTGTCTGTAGCGAAGAGAACACTTTTACAATATTATTGCAGTCCATCAATTACTCTGTAGATACTCGGACACAATTTCTCGCAGACAGCCAACCATTGCCTCGCTTGCAATGACTACCAAATCTCATCGACTCGCGCGCCTCATCGGCCCCGCGCTTTTCACAATCTCGCTGACGGAGTCGTTCAACGCGCATATCTGGGCCACAAGCTCCGCGCCGACCATCTTCCTGAACGGCTCTGTGATCTTCGTCTCCGGCCTCGCCATTGTCCAAAATCACAACGTGTGGTGTCGCTCCTGGCCTGTTCTAGTCACCTTGGCGGGCTGGGGAGGTGTCGCGCTTGGGTTGATGCGCATGCTCATTCCGGAGCGAATACTGGAGAGTGTGAAAAGAGCAGAGGCAAGGGACGTGAGGATCGCGGCCACGGTCGTAGCAGCGTTTGGGGCGGTTCTCTCACTCTTTGGATATTTTGGACCTTGAAACTTGGGCATATGAAGGGGGACGCATATGCCCGCTGGACAACGGGTTGATCAATTTCCACGTTGTCACGCCCAGGGATGACGATCTCCTGGTCTACGATACTTTGAAGAAATGTGGCCCAACTCCTCTCTCCACCAGACCGTGAAGGCGACGACGAATAACAGAAGAAGCGCACCTGGTTTTCTGGACCTGCTGTCTTCGTCGCCGTCTTTCCCACGGCTGCCCTCGCCGTCTTCTCCCCGAATCGTTTCCCACTCCTATTGCCCCGATGAAGAACATCCTCGAAGAAGATCTCCTATATGTAAAGTCTGAATCAGAAGCTCCGATTTATCGAATCCATCTTAATACACTCCGTGCCATCTCCATTCCCGTCCTTCCTGGACCTTCTCTCTCAAAGTCCGCTTAATCCTCTGGTTCACGTCTCCACCAAGCCCTTTCAGGCCAGCAAGTCGCCCCTCGGCGGGTCAGTCGCAAGTAGGAAAGGAGATAAGTGCCCAAAACCTTTGGCGTTTGTTAACCCGGGTCCTGATGGCTCGTGGTCGGAAGGAGGGTCTATGTCCACTGGGCCTCCCACTTTGTTCTCTATCACTATGTGTATCCTTCGTTTAAGCCAGTGGGCTGAGTGTTGCCTCGGCCTTTTAAAAATAACTCATATCTGTCGGTGCCGAACCGCTGGAAAGGGGGGGGTAAGAGTGAGCGAGCACTTCAACGTCCTCCGCTGTTTCACGACACGGAACGAAATCCTCGCCTGCCTGTTGTCGAACTTCTCAGCCTTAACACGGCGCACGTTCTTCCAGAGATAGGTCACTCCCGGCTCGAGCGCGGTCTTGACGATGATTCCTACTCTCTCTGCGTGAGACATCTGAGATCAATGAACGACCAGTTAATGTAGCATTAACCCATACCCACCTGGCGAGGCTGGCTCTGTGTATTTATATAGTTGATTTGCTCGTGTGAATCCATCTCACTCGGATCGGGAAGGCTAGGCTCTTTATAGGGGCGCACCATCTATCTTTGGGTCTTGGGCCTGACTCCCTCTAGCCTTGAGTACAGTTTTCAGACTTTGAATTTCAGGGCCAAAAGCCGAAAAGGGGGTACAGAATGAAAGGGAGGAAGGAAGCCTCGACCTTGTTTGGTGGAACGTTCTCGGCCTCGGTTTTATTCTATTCTGATCTGTCGTGTTCAGTAAATCAATGGGACATGAGAGATGGAGTAGGATGAGAGGGAGGGACTGGTTGCTAGATAGTTTAGATAGTTCAGATAGTCGGTCGCGCAAATTCTAATTAGCCTCGCTCCGCCAGGTACGTAACGAGGTAGGTAGATATTTAGGTAGGTAGGCAGGCATCATATTAAGAACAACATTGCGGGATTGTATTTTGGTTCAACATAACAATACCGATAGATCGATCACTTGATCATCAATCAGTCTATCACCAATGCGTCCGCTCCCAATGTCGCCTCGTTACGTTCTCGCAGTCTTTAACAGCCCTTTTGTATATCTATATCTATTCTATGTAGCAATCACAAAGTGCAGGAATCAAGGGGAGACAAGACGAAGACGAGGACGAAGAGAAAGACGAGGACTTGAGGCGAGGACAGATCAGGCCTTGACAATATCCTCGCTGCGGACCTCACCACCCTTCTCCGCGTAAATGTCATCAGTATCTCCTCCTTCCTGGCTGCTCCCACCACTAGCAGCGTTGACGGTGACGGAGCCGGCGAATCCTTTTTCGTGCACAACGCCGCCTTCGGTCTCCTTGAGGGCCTGCTCTTCGATCTTGCGTTTCTCGTCCTCGGACGCGTCGTACCATTGCGTGGCGACGTGCATGTCGTCGCCGAATAAGTAGCCGATTTCCTCAAGCGTTCGGCCCTTGGTCTCTGGGAAGAAGAGGTATATGATCACAATGTACTAAAGGGATTGACAAAGTTAGTGCCCACTAAATCTAGAGTCTTCGCAACATCGGGGTAGGTTCAAATCCCCGAGAGCGTTAGTAGGCTTGTTACTCACCACAGCAGATGGGATAATCAGAACCAGATAGAATCGCCAACCGATCTTGTTGAGGGCGACCGGTGCTGCGACCAGAGTGACCTCACTCGCTAGGTAAAATGCCGACAAGCCCAACGCGACGCCAGCAGGACGCAGATGGTTCGGGAAAATCTCCGCCACATACACGTACTGGGTCGCGTCGATGAAGAAGCACCACCAAATGATGTAGAACCAGATGAAGAAGACGCCTGCTCGGAGGCCAGCCTTGTTATTCGTGTTGAGGAACGACGCTGTCAGAGCGCAGAGGAAGATGACCGAGACGACACAACCACAGGACCCGATAAGCATGAATTTCCTTCTGCCGAATTTATCGATAAAGAGTGCCGTCCAAGTGTTTCCGATAAGCGTGAATGTCGTCCAGCACGCATTGAGCAGGAGCGGGATCGATCCACTCAGGCCCAAACTCGCGTATATCAACACCCCCTATTCAAATCGTCAGCGAACAACGTCCAGAACGTCGTCTAGAGCACAACAAGTGAGATCAACGGACATAATTCGTCATTATAAAGATACCCAGGAACTGATTACCCCACATTAAAGTAAATGCCATCAACGCGCGTTTCCTGTTCGCAGGAGTGCTGAAAAGCTCGAAGCGGCCACGTGACATGGTAGCATCCATTTCGTATTGTTGTTCCATAAGCCAGAATTCCCGACGGGCAGTCACCTCCTCTGGATCGCCTGCTGTCCTGTGGAGTCGCTTGACCACGTCGAGGGCTTCTTGTCGACGACCTTGTGAGAGGAGCCAACGAGGGCTGAACGGAACCAAGTTGCTCCCAGCCAGCAAGATGGTTGGGAAGACGACCTGGAAGGCCAAGGGAAATCGCCAGGCGAATTGTGCAGCAGGATCAGTGGCCGACATATGGAAACAGGCGTAGCCCAGCCAACCTGCAAGAGCATAGCCGACTGCGTACATAATGCCCGTAACGCAGACCATGGCCCCTCGTGTCTCTAATGCAACCGAGTCGTATCGTTAGAGACAGCCGTAGACGAGGCAGAAGGAACAGGGCTGTCACATACCTGGCGTCGAGACTTCCGCTTGATAAATTGGGACAACACAGGCAAGAATACCTGAACCCATACCGGCAACAAAACGCCCAACAAGGAACATGGCCATATCAACCGCTCCGGCGCACAAGGCGCCGCCAACGATCAGAATGACGGAGCCTATCTGCATTGTACGCTTTCGTCCATACTTGTCGGAAGACCAGGCTTGTGAGATACATCCTGCTATTGCCCCGGCAGAGTTGACGCCGTTCAAGGCCCCAATCATGTTGGTTGTGTGGTCATAGCCAGGTTCCCCTTGCGTGGCCAAGTGAAAGTAGGAATAAAAGTTGGGTTGGCCGACGGTTGAGCCGATGATTGCGAGGCCATAAGCTGTAGAAATGGTGCCCAAGGCCACGAACACAACCACCCAAAGATTGTAGGTGTTTACAATGATTTTGTGCAGCATCTTGACAAGCTAAGAGAGCAAAAAGCTTGGTTGGGAGAAGGAGAATAGGCGAGAAGGAGAGAGTGGCACTAGAGAAGCATCGGGAGGTATGCGCGTGTCTTTGTATGTGTACTTGCTGTCTGTTCCCCAATCCACCACGTCGTTCGAGTCTTGCAACGGGCTGACAATATCTCCAACTGTAGGCCGAGGGTAAGTGGAAAGTAACCGCACAAATAGGCAATGGCTGTGCCGATCACCTCGTTGCTCTCAATGTCTCTGAGTCAGGAACATGGGATTCATATGCCGGGGAAGAAGTACCGGTACAAGGTGGAAGCCCCATGGAGGAGAGGAAGTGTGGATAAGGAACCCACGTTATGCGGGGAATGCTGTGAGATTATGGATCATTGAAGACGGCAAAGCTGAGGTTGACGTGAGGTCGTACATAACAGAGCCGAGCCCGATCTTGAGAAGCGAAGAGCGAGAGGCTTGATTGATCGAGAGCTTGATAACGACCACTTCTCGGTGTGAACACGCAGCCTTCTGGCGGTCGTCGGACAGGACCGCATCCATGTCCGAGATATACCAAGATTTATGCAAGCCACACTAAGAAAAAAGGTTCGCGAGGATGCGGCTTCAGCTGATAAGCTCTCAGGTGGCATAAAGTATAAACTCTTGTTCGGACACAGACCGAGGTCCGGCCTCGGCGATGCTTCGTCATGATGACAGCCAAGGCAGAAGACGGATGGAGCTTGAGACGGGGGTAGTTGTTGACAGGAGGTCATCGGGGGGTAGGAGTAGGAGGGTTTCGGCCAGGTCTCGCTCGAGCAGTTCAAGGCCTTTTCTTGACATTCTTTTCAGTTGAGAGCTTCCTTATCATTGAAAGACTTGGTATAAGTAGTCGAAACTGAGGCCCTCGGGGGAGAGCGTGTGTACCCGGTACGACGAGACGAAGGGGAGATGTCCAATACTGGGTATTGATTGATTGGTAACTGAGAAGAACTGCGGCATCGATCCGTTTGTGGACCGAAATGGAGCACTGACATCACGTGCTCGGATAACCTTCTTTCAAGGGCTATGGCAGCCAACATCCCCAAATCTGTTCTCCGCAGACGAGCCTCGTCTCCGCGCTCCTGCAATTTTCCCCCAAGCTCTCCAGGCCCCCAAGGCTCGAGGCGCCTCCCAACCACAAAACGACTTTATGCCGGGCCTCGCCGTTCTTGCCGTACAAAGGAAGCCACAGCGAGCCGGTGGATTTTGCGGGGAGGGACTGAACGAAGCTGTTGCCCATTGAAACCAGTCATACTCTCAGCGTCAATGATGCCCTCTCTATCATAAGAGGTGAGACACGAGAATTGAGGCATTCCACATTAACTAGTCCCTCTGCCATGGCAGACCAGAATCATCCCATATATCCTGACCTTCGCGGCAAAATCGCCCTGGTCACAGGCATCGGCCAAGATGGCCCACCCAGCGAGACCACAAATTGGGGCAACGGTGCTGCCATTTCGCTTGCACTCGCTCGCAATGGCGTCAAGGTCTTTGGCTGCGACATTAATCTCGATGCCGCCAAACTCACCAAATCCCGCATTGAAGCAGTCGTCCCTGACGCCGTCGTTGACGTGGTCGTTGCCGACGTGACAAAATCCTCCGACGTGGACAGGTTCGTCCAAGATTGCATCAAGAAATACGGCCGCATTGATATCCTAGTGAACAATGTTGGCCGCAGTGAGAAGGGCGAACCTGCCGATATGAGCGAGGAAGTCTGGGACTCGCAGGTCGATATTAACTTGAAGTCCGTGTACCTGACATGCCACGCGGTGCTTCCAATTATGGAGGCACAAGGCTCTGGGGCGGTCATCAATATCAGCAGTGTCGCCAGCATTCGCTATGTGGGGAAACCCCAGGTCGCATATTCGGCAACAAAGGCCGCCGTCACGCAATTTACCAAACACACTGCAGTGGTATACGCGAAGAAGGGGGTTCGACTCAACACGGTCCTTCCGGGACTTATGTTCACTCCGCTCGTGCAGTCGCTGGCCAACAAGTATGCCGATGGTGATTACGAGGGTTTCGTGCAGACGAGACACAACCAGGTACCGACCGGGAAGATGGGCGCTTCCTCTGACGTTGCCAACGCGGTGGTCTTCCTGTCGAGCAATGTTGCAGCCGGATACATCACGGGACAGAAACTCGTGGTCGACGGCGGTATCGTTTCGAGTACGGGGAGGACGTAGAAAAATGCCTCGCAAAAACGAGTAGATATCCTTGCACTGGGGCTTCCTGGAGGGCCAGTCTCTGAGAACCTGCTACTATTATTTGGCGAAATTCCAAAATATGGGTAGAGCAAAATGCACAGGTTGTCCATGTGTGCATATCATATTGATCTTTGGGAGCAGACTCGTGTACTTACCAGTGGACGGAGTGCTCTGCTCTACTTTACTCTGCCTCGGTAGCTGAAAACAGGTTATTAGAGTCGAGCCTTCTGGGACAATTTCAAGGTTAACGACCTCTCACCTAAGTAACCAACCAACTTTCGATACAGGAACGAAAATATCAAAGGGGCGGCCTTGCTCGTCTATTTCCGCCGGCGTACATACTGAATGTGTACGAATGTGTGCATGTACACTGTACTCAACATCTGGTACTCCTGACTCCATACTCCTAGTCTGTGCTCCGTACCACCACAACAATAATACCACCAGGGCCCAAGTAAGTACGCTGCACCTCATAATCCCAATCGCTAGCACTGGTGGCGCCAACCACCAGGCGGGCGCAGGACAAGGCTGAACCTCCCTTTCCCTTTCTGACCCATTACACTATGTTGAATTTACATTACACTGCATCTTATCGCTTCGTATCGCTTCGTATTGCATCGCATTGCATTGCATGAGCGAGAGGAGGAACTCACCGCACCAGGGGCTGCATGCATACCTTATGTACGGAGGAAACATAAGCTGACGCGATGTGATTAGTGGTGGGTATTAGAAGGGCCCCAAGGCTCCTCCAATCTAGTATGGACCTTAATCCATCTGGCATCCATTTGTATTTTAGGGATTGGGGAGCCTAATCAAAAGACGTTCGCTGCAAGGACGATCACGATGGTCAGCACTGTTGTCGGTCTCTTGGACTCGGCTTCAACCCCCGTCTGGAGTTCTGCGGATGGACATAACAGTCTTCTCGGGGCGTTGACAGTCACATGCTGAGTCCTGGAAGAGCCATGACGACGGTCCTGGCAACGTTAATCCCGGCGGGAGCGAGGCGATAAGACGAGAGTATAATGTTTTGACTTAGACGTGAGTGCTATATATGTTGTATCCATACTATAGGGCTGGTTAAACTTTGGTCTTCAAGGCGCGGGCTTCGGGCTTTCTCGTTCAAACACAAATCCCAGCTCTCTGAGCCGATATCTCTGGTCACATGCATGGAACAGTATATACCCGTTGAGATAATTCTCCCAAATATCCTCGAGGACTTTCTCTCCTTTCAGCCCTCGCCGGATACTCTCCGTCAACTTCACAACCTCATTGCACAGGTTCCTCAGCACCTCCAGGGGTGTTTTGCCCTCACATCTCGCGCGGTTCTGGATGTAGGTGTTCTCCTCGACCCCGACATGCAGATCCACGTTCTCTTTATAAAACGACAGAATGTCATTCGTGAAGTCGATCCAATCCATCATATCCCTCACGCAGACAAAATATTTCCCTAGATACTTGTCCTCCGGGACTAGGTGCGTCGGAAACATGAAATGCGCGTAGACTTCTCCCGAACCGGCTTTGTCCCTCAGGAAATGCGCCGCTGTCGAGGGAATGCACGAGAAAGGGTCTTCCTGGAGACCATGTGGGAAGCGCGCCTCGATTATACTTCCCATTAGGAACTCAACGAAGCCCTTCTGGATGGCGCCAGTTGCGTATGGCCCGTAGTGCAAATGAGCCTCGGAAGCGACGAGCTCGGACCACAGGAGGAGACATGGTTCCGAACAGGTACTGTCCGATTTTGGACGAGCGGAAGTAACAGGCTTACACAGCTTCTGCAGTTCCGGAAGGATTTTTTCAGGTTCTTTGACAACGAGGTCATCAATATAGAACAGGCATATGGTATACAATGTAATGAATGTCTTGACTTCGATGGAAGCTTGTGCGTATTGTTTCTGAGTACCACTAGCGACGGTCGGAAGGAGTTTGAAGCAATGAGCGGTACGCTTGTCGTCGAGGTTCCAGGACATGATTCGGTTGCGGGCTATCTGGTCTAGCTCTTGAGGATATGGATCTTCATATTGTTGCAAGTCAAAGCCGATGTTTCGGAAGAAGTTTCGTAGAATCTTTGCCGTCTCTGTCCTCTCATCTGTTTGAGTAGCAGGGCGGATACGCAGTGAACGCTCGGAAGGGCTATTCGTTGGGAGAGGTCCTTCCTCGTCTGTGCTCTCCATGCTCTTTCTGGCCATCTTGTAGAGAAAAACGGGTGCAAGGACAATAGGTAAGCTCGAATAGAAGCTGGGCATGAGACTCGACTTCTTGAGGTTGCTGTCTTTCCGGCGAGAAAGTTGCCATGTCGAAGGCGGACGGCTGATCAATACAGCTCTTATATAGTCATGTTGAAGCGCAACTCAGCTCTGGCACCGACCTCATATTCAGCGTGAGGCTGAATACTATGCAAAGACCGGGTACTTGCCGTCCTCCTTCTGGTTTGCTTGATACTGGTCAAACATTCCATTCAATCATAATTGAAAGGCGTCCACAGCAATTTCGCCCACCATGGTCTTCCTCGGAGGTATTTGACAATAGCAGAAGGTACTCCTGCAAGATTCATGGCAAATATTAGCTCTGACGTGAGCTTGATATTGCAGCAGGTCTTCGAGAGCCATAGTAAAAGAACGAACCCGGAGGACAGGATCAGTTAGCAGCTCCCCACACACCAGACATAGCAATACGGGACGCCTAGGACCAAAGGCCTTTTCCTAGCCTCGCTCCTGTCAACGCATCGATGCCTTGCAGAGGACTTGCCTATATGGCTTCGCGACAGCGTCGAAAAGGAGACAAAGAACATAGTCGGTGGTAGGGTATGGCGGATCATTCATCTTTCCACAACCAGGATAGCTACTGCTGCAGTTCGTCAGATAGGGGCAGTTAAGTCTTGTAAGATCTGGCAAAATGTTCCGATGAAGGTATCTATTTCCCCTATGCATCGTCGAAGGATCGATCAGGGCAGATATAACACATTTGTGCGGAACAGGTCTGGCGTTATTGCCCGTTCCTTCCATCGAGGCCCTACGACCATTAGCGTGGACGCCTGAACATGATGACGGACCGACCTGTGTCTACGGCACAACCATTGATCCGAGGCTGCAAAGGCTCCAACACGGGCTTTCGCCGTTGCTGCAGGGCTTGTGCAAGGACGTACGAAGTGCCCGGCTTCAAAGGCAAGCCTAGATCATGATACCCAGAGTACATTGGTTCTGGTTTCCGGACGGCTACTTCGATAGTGACCTGTACAACAGCGCTTGTGGATCCTCAACATGGCACTGATCACACAACCAATACAGTACAGGGTATAAAACTGTGTATAATATATAAACTTAGTGTTGAGTATGTCTGCCAAGTATTAAGCGAAGCGACGAGTCCTTAGTAATTCCGTTGTCTCAGTTCTCAGACTCATCGGCTCAGTTGCCATAAGTGGGCAGGGCCCACTGTTTTGCGGAGTAAAACGCCTTCGCGAGAAGTGTCTAAACTCCAATACGTGGTTTTAGGGTAGAAACGCGTTCGCGTCCTTGTGAAATACGTAAATATTTTAATATTCACCACTTTTCTTTATCTCCTCAGATTACTACGACGTTTATAGAAAAGTTTTATATATATAAAAGAATTCCTTTACGATACTCTCTCTAATATACTTTTTTAATTTTTAAATAAGGCCTTATTAAATAAGATCTCGTTAAAAATAGCTATTTTTAATAAGTATATTATTATCTTCTTTTATCATTAAAAGCCTTAAAAAAATTATTTACTCGGTGATACTAGTATTAATCGATAGAGAAATAGAAGCTTACTTACTTACGCTAATTTAAAGTAATAAAGAAAAGAGTTAAGAGTTCTATATTCGATTTTTTATCTATATAACTTTCCGCGACTAACGACGCTTTATCTTTTCACTAAATAAATTTAGTTAGTAACTTAAATACTTAAGTACGAATATTATAGACTATTATAAAACTCTACTTATTTACTTCGAAAGAATATTAGACTAAGATACTTCTATCGTTAATCGAAGATAAGCGGAATATAATACTCTATACGCTAATTAATGCTAATAAGAGTCTAATCGCTTAAATCTATTTAGTTCTCGAATTTAGCTAGATTCTATATATTATTTCTTTAACTTAACATAATAATAAGTAGATAAAAAAAATCGACTTATTTTCTAAACTAAAGAGATTTCTTTTATATAATAAAACTAATACTTCTATTAATCGCTAATAATTATATTATATCTTAATAGCTTAACGTTATATATACTATAAGTAATTTAGAAAATATTTTATAGATTTAGTAAATAATAAATCTATTAAACATTTTCTCTTATTATTTTTATCTTAACTAATATCTTCTAGTATTTATAAGCTCTAAAATAGCTATCTCTTCACTTTTTAAAGACGCTATTCTAAGAAATTTAAATATTATATAGAGACTTCGTCTTATTATTATTAATAAGTTACACTACGTAGTATAGTAAGATAAAACTTTTCGACCGGTATATCGTTCTCTATATATTTTATAAAATCGTTTATCTCTTTATATACTATGGTTTAGTATATTAGCGACGCTTCGTCCGTATATATTAGTAAGATATCTATAATAGAGTGGATTTTAAGAGATATACACTCGAGTTATATATTAAAACCTTAACCGGAATAATATATTCTACGACCTTCGAGTAATATAATTTCTAGAGAACTCGGCTAAAGATTTATTATTTCTCTTTCTCTCTCTTCTGTATAAGACTACTACTATTGAATTTAGTCGATATATTTCTAAAACGATTATCTTTATACGTTTAACTAATCGTATTATAAATATTCGCTTTCGACTTATAAATATACTAGTAGCACAATATAAAGTATTCTTTAATATCGTTAAAATAATAATTAAGACATTCTTTCGTCTACGATTCGAGAACTCTAAGTAACGAGTCTATTAGCGATTTCTCTAAGTCTTATTTAATATTCGAATATTACTTATAATAGACGTAGTGAGAATTAGTATAGACTTTCTAAATATTAAAGTCGTCGTTTAGTTCGATCTTTCTAAAAATCTTAATATCTTAATATAATGACTTAAGCGAGCTAGTAAAGATTAAGATTTATTAGCTTACTTCGTTTAGATTATATCTAAGTATCTACTATTTATCTTAATTAATATTAATTCTACGAATATAGAAAGCACTACGGCACCGTTGACTAATTTAAAGAACTTAACTTCTAATAGAAAAGATATATAAGTGTCACGAAAGAAAAAATAGTTCGCGAAATCGATATAGAGCCTTAGTTAATAGCGATAGATTTCTCTTACTAAACTACGTCCTATTTTAAAGATCGAGTAATACTTTCGTTAAGTACTTTAGAAACTATATACTATAAATAAATATAATTATATACTTTAGTTATAGCGATACTATATATTCTATTACTCTTAGAATTAACTCCGAGTATATATTTATTAGGGATTCCTTAGTAAGTAGATAGAGTCTAACGATAAGCGTGTATATAAGTCATCTCTATAGTATATGGTCGATACTGTATACGACTTAAAGTATAAGAGAGGAAAGAGTGCGCCTTCTATACGGGGAGTGTGCTAGTAATAAGGATACACTCTCTAAGCCGTATCTCTTAGCTAGTGGCCTAATTATTCCCCGATATATTAGGCGTCCGTCCTTTTAATGTTTAGCCGAATCCGTAACACTGCCTCTTCCTTTAAGCTTCTCGTTCCCGAGAAGCTATAAGTAGTAGACTCGTCGTACTCGCCTCGTATACTCTTTAAGCTATGTAGTGCGGAGCGTACTTCTTAGTATTCGTATGTATTCGTCCTTAGCGATACTTAGTTAAATATCTATATTTATAGTCTTATATACGTAGTCTTATATATATAGTCTCGTATATCTTAGTCTTATTTTTCTTTATATATATTATAAATAATAATAATAGTAAATATTGTAATGAGAGAAGTTTAAAGTGGGGAATAGCTTTATAATTAGCTGGGGCGTCGACGCTAGACTAAGGTTCTTCTTATATAGTCCTCGGGGACTATCATTCACAGAATAATGAATTAAGTTATGAACGGAAGAACTTCCTTTAGTTGAGTGTGCGTGCTATGAAGAGACTATCCCACCGCCGTACGAGTTAACGCTCATGGCTAGTAGCCTCGCCCCAGTTTAGTGATGCCACTAATAAGATCTTCGAAGAATACTTACGGATGAGTGTCTCTCTATGAGCGGTGAGAGAAGATTACGATGAACGACTAAAATAAACTACTTACTAAACTAATAGAACTAAAGAATTGTTTACCTACCTACTTAACTAAATCTAAAGAAACTAGCTATATATATAGAATCGCTGCGCAGAGTATACTATTTAAATTACTAACTAAGTAAGTCTATCCCGCTATACGGAGCGATTTACGCTGGCTATTTATGAAGACCGCTGCTCGGGGTGCCTTTTAAAATTACTAACTATATATATTTACTATCACTATATAAGATGAAAATTAACGACTTAACGACTATTTAGACTATTTAGAAGAACTAAGAGAGAAGTATCTTCTAGAAACGTAGAAATATATTTAACTCTAAAAACTCCGAACTTAAGAAGCTTAGAAGAAGTCGAAGAACGCGGATCTACTTAAGAAATAGTAAAAATAAGCGGTTAGACTAGACTTACTAAAATAAACGAAGTTAGAGCGCTACTAACCGAAAAGTAAATTTAAAATTTTAATAGAAATTACTAATAAAGATAAGAAAGAAGCTTAACGAGAAAATCGATGAAGAGATAAAGAGAGAAAAAAGAGAAATAATTAAAAATATTAATAAAAATAATAAAAATAATAAAATATTTAGATCTTTTAATTTCGCTATTAAGATTTATACTATTTCGATTATAAGAGAAGAAGTAAAAATAGTTTAATATTAGAAAAATATCGTCTACGGAAGAATCGAATAGTAAAGAAAAGCTAAAGCCTTCTATAATATTGAGTATTAGCTTATAAGATCTATCGACGCTAAATTTAACGATGTAATCGTTATACGTCTCTTCTACTATAATATTAATAAGAGAAATACTTTAGAGCTTAAACGAAAGTAATAATCTTTTATACTTTAATAGAAAGAACGCTATCTCTTTCTTCGAGAAGTTTAAAGAGCTATATAAATATAACTAGATTATATTAAGCGGAGAAT